AAATATGTCATAAGACGTCATTTGGTCGCAAGCGCACAGTTTATAAAACGAGCGACGAAGGAGAGAGTTTTGTAATGGACGAGTGCGACAAAAGGTCTTATGACATGAGTACTTTATGCTATTTTATCTATTTTGCAAAAATTCTATAAAAAAATTAATTTATTTAATTAATTAATTTATACTTATTTACAATAAGCGGCTGTTAATGTTAAAGAAGAAAAAAAGGATTTCCTTTGGTGTTAAACAAAATTTATTGCCAGAAAAGTCTCGTAAGTGCTAGAAAAATCATAAAAATATTATATCCAATATGCAAAATGCTGTTTAAAGTATAGTCAACCTATAAAGTCAAAATTTTGGGTGGGATAAAGTATCTCATTACAGCAACATTCTTCAACAATTCCAAGTGTCATAGTTTTCCATAGAATCATTTTTTATATTGCAATAGGTACATGAAAAACAGGAACTATGAGACATTAACCCCATTATAATATTTGCTAATTTTAAATCTAATGCCAAACAAAATGACTTGAAACTATTAAATTTAAGTAAATTCCAATTTTTTTAACATTTAAATAATTTTATTCTATGTCAAAAACAATAGCCATAATTAAAAGTTTTATCATGATAGAATTAAAAGTTTTATCGTGATAGAATTAAAAGTTTTATCATGATAGAATTTAGATTTTTTTGGATTAACTATGATGACTACCAAATTTTTAGGTATTGAGGAAAAAGGGGATTTATTAGAAAATACAAAGATAAGTTTAAAAATTAGGGGGTGCACCCGACGACATTGAAAAGCCAAGTCCGTCTGTGAAAAGTGCGTGAATTCACCGTCCAACTACCGTTTACAAATGTCACAGACGGTTTATTCACGGTAAATTCACGGTGAATTCAATGAATTCACGGTGAATAAACCGTGAACTCAAGGCCGCAAGGGAATTTAAAAACTCATTTAAAGAGTAATAGGTTCTGTTTATTAAAAATTCTTTTAATTCTCTATTAAATTTGTTTTTGTTGTAGTAAATTTTTTATTGAATTGGAGAAGTTTTTTCATGCATATTATACCTGCATAATCAGGATTTTTTTCTGATACCTGATGCCTCTTAGGGGCTTAATAAAGTTGCTCGAAACTTTACTAAAACTGAGTATGTGATGGATCTCGCCAAGATATACAACTCTTTTCCTTTGAAGTATGATTCGTTCCTCAAGACACAGGGTGTTAAACAAATTAAATTTTCTGCAAGATTCAACACTCAGCATCTCTAAAGCGAACAATTTTTCGACGCACTGTTGTTTATTTTAACGAGATCTATCACATACTCAGTTTTAGTAAAGTTCTAAGCAACATCTACCGTCGATGCATAAATTTACAAATTTCTCGAAAACCATTGACGCTATAGCGTTGTTGAACAGATTTATTCATAAAAAAATTTAGAGATGGGAATCGGAAAGTTTCCATTTTAAGGAAACTTTCCGTTTTGGAAAGTTTCCAATTGGGAATTTATTTTCATTTTGAAAGTTTCTTTTAAGCTACCGGAAACATTCCTTGGAAACTTTCCTTGTTTTTTTCATTTAACTGTCAATTGTTTAACCGCTGATTTTCGTTAGTGTTTGGAATTATTACAATTGTAATTTTAAAATAGTGCAAAAAAACAAAAAAGACCATGCTCAAAGCAAGTTCTGTAAGAAAATCTATGTCGTTAATGCAACCAAAAATTTGACAAAAAGTTAATGTGTTATATATTTTTGCAAATTCCTGGCATAAAAAAAATATTTTCGCAATAAAAAAATTTTTTTTGAAACTTTCGGAAAATTTCGGGAATTTTCGATGGAAAGTTTCCGGGAATTTTCGTCAAATGGGAATTTTCCCATCTCTAAAAAAATCCCAGAAGTTTACCGACAGAAAAGTTACGACAAATTGAAATAAATAAAACAGCGTTCCTCTAGGTGCTGCAAAAATATTAACAAAAAATTATGATTTCTCACGTCAAAAAAACCCCGCCTACCAAATTTTTTATTTCATAATAGTTTAAAAAAACAAAAATAAAATTTCATTTTCAACACCCTATATTACGGAAAGCAAACATTTGGGGAGCAGGGCCGAGCCGTGCCGGGGGTGCAAGGGGTGCATGGCACCCGGGCGGCACTAACACAGGGCGGCAAAATATCATCAAAAAATTTGTATCATATTATCAAGAATAAAAAAGCCACCTTGCAATATGCAAAAAACTTTCTAAAAATCATTTGCGTTTTATTGATGTCGGCGTTTCAAGGAATCATCGTTTTTATTCTACACATAAAAACAATGCCAAAATTGTGCTGTCAGGCGGCAATGATAAAAAAGACATAACCGAACGCGCGATAGCCCCAAAAAATAATGATGACAATTTTCTTAAAGCCCGGTTTATAGATTGCCGCCCGCCCGCTTCGCTTTCCGTCCGTCCGCTTCGAGTTCGTCAAGTTTCATGTTTTACGGAAGCGGGCTTACGGGAAACCAATCAAATCGCGCGCTGTGTACCACGTGATATTGTTTACAAGCTGAAGCTAAGTTAAAGCATAATTTCTTCCGATTTGACGGCTGCGTATTTCAGCAATTTTTAGTTTTTCTATTAACGTGAGGCAAATAGGATGCAAACATAGTAGTTTATTTTGTCTTTTAATGCGTTTAAGTTAAAAACTAGTTAATGATCTTAATCATCTTTCCGAATTTATTTGTAGCTTTAAGAATATTTTTGACGATACCAGTTACTGTTGCCCATGGAGAGCGGTCATTTTCGAAATTAAAACTAATTAAGACCTATTTAAGATCCAATATGAGTCAATTCAGGCTTTCAAATCTAGCAATTATAAGTATTGAAGAAGATATTTCTAACAACTTGGATGTAGGCGACTTGATTAGGGAATTTGCTATTAAAAAAGCGAGAAAAGTAGATTTTAGTTTTTTAGTTTAGTTTAATTATTTTTGTTTTTTTTTTCCTGAATGTATTTTTATTTTATTCTTTTATGTATTTGTTAATAAATACTTTGTTATTTTACTATAAAATTTGTTATATGTTTATTGAGAATGAACTCCTTCCCTACCGACAACCTAATTTTTTACATTAATGGGGGCGGCAAATTTAATTCTTGCACCCGGGCGGCAGATACCCTAGGCTCGGCCCTGTTGGGGAGCCATATTTATATAAACTTCTTGCCTTAAAATTCTTGTTTTTATAAATTTAAATATGTCTGAAATTATTTCAAACGCATAATGGGTTTTGGCCAGGTTTTTAGTAGATGTAATGCGATAATCGGTTGCCGCCTAGCGTCCGACGGACGTTTCTCGGTTATTTACTTGATCTATTTAGTCTCTTTGTAAACATTTTCTTAATGCGAAGTGTTAATTATAATAATAATAATATGCAATATACTTATTATACTTATATTATAATAATAATAATAAATTATTATTATTGTATGTTCACTCGTATTACCAATTAACTTAAAACAATCATAATCTCGAAAATCGTTTTTGGACGTTTTGTCGGAGCGTGTCACATAACGTTACTTATGTGCATTTACTATTTACTGAAACTTTACCTTAAACACTTATTGTTGACTACAAGATTTATAAAAATGCAAACTGTTTCTTGAATTCATTTATTTTGTTATAAATCATCCAAGTTAAAATAAACAAAATGGAATAAAATACAATTGTGAATTTGCTAATTTAAAAATACAACCATCAATCATTTTTTACCAGAAATCTTAGAATTTATAAATTTAAATTTATAAGCATTGATAAACAGTCCAAAATCCGTTTCTTACAAAGTCATATAAAATTACTCCCTCTTCCTATCTCAAATACGTATTTAGAATTGGTTTTAAAACTATTTATAGGCACCCCTTACTATACATAAATGAATAAAAATCAAATTTGAAAATTAAATAAAATTAAATTTTATACATAATTTGAATCACAAACTATAATTATGTTAAGGGCGTTGAGTGAAGAAATCTTCAGACAACGTTAAGGGTTTATAAAGTATGAAATTAGGCTTAATCATCAGTACATGGAATTTATGTTTACTAAGTCGTAACATTATTTAACATCCACTTTTTAATAATTATATAAAATACATCTAACATAATAATATTGTTCATTTCAGTTCTAACATCCACTTTACATATTTATTATCTAATAATCACCAAATTCTACAGGTTGGTTTATTTTTAAAGAAAAGTTATACCTAAGTTGATTAATATCACAAATTACTAGTATCAATACATTGCAAATTAACTAATAAAAATAAATGTGGCATGTAGATTATTAAAAAAATACTTGAAACCAATTTATATCACCTTGTTTCATAGACAATTAATTATAAAATATTTTAGTGAAAAAAGGATAAGCCACTAAGGGATGCTATTTGTGGAGGTGAAATATTATTGTGTTAATTAGGCTGGGCCTTATCAAGGCAATGTAAAAAAATCTTTAAAATGGCCCCATAAAATATCCAGGTATAAAAAACAATTACTTAAACTTTTTATGCTCATAATAACCGACTAATAGTGATTTTGTATTACATAATTATTGAGTTTTATTTTTATATAAAAAAATATTAAAACTAAATTAATTTAGCACATTATAATAATCATAGATTAGATACAGAATCAAAGGTTAGGTTAGGTACAGAATCAAAGGTGAAAAAAAACAAAAGAGCGGTCCTACACTAAGACTAAATTATTTTTGGTCAAGCACTCTGTGTTTCCGCTAAAGGGCCTTAACAATTGTTTGATCTACTCTAAAATATTCAAAGCATATATACCATTTTTTTAAACCTTAATTAATTTTAGGAGGTGACCGACATTGCCAAAATAAGGACCGCCCTAGTGTTGATAAACTAAAAACTAAATAATATAGGAACTTTAGTATCTACTAAAAATTGCAATGCAAAAAAAAAGATGGTGAAAGAAAAAAAATTAATTCAAAGAAAATTAAAAACAAGTTTATTATTTCTTATATAAATATTGTAATAATTTAAAGTCTACAAAATAATAAAAAATTACATAATCATCCAGGGAAAACTATTTTGGCAGGATTTATGTAATTTAAAAAATATATTGTCAAAAATCAGCTAAACTTGATAAATAAATCAAGGTTTCAAATAAACTAATATACAATAAAAGAAAAGCTGTGAATTGGATATTTCGTTAAAAATGAGTGTTGGTCAACAACAAATTTAAAAGCGGCGAAAAAATATGAAAAATAATAAGTGATGAATCAACACAGATCCAGCCTATGTTTTATTGCACAATATGTCAAAAAACAATAAATAAAATGATTTTCACAGCTTAGCTTTTAAATAGGTAACATGACAATGAAAAATGAATGTTAGTTGCCTACTGAAGCATAGAGTGTGTACTGTCCAGCATAAGGCATAGTTAAAGTTGAAAACGTTAGGGTTTATTTTGAAAATTCGTTTAGTTGATTTTTGCTTAGAAACCCAAACTAATGCCGAAAACATAAGTCTGCGTTACATTTTTTAGTGACCTTGAACGGCCTTTAGCTCCTTTATTTGCCTTATAAGGTAAGCCTTTTCGTCGTTAAATTGTTCGTCTTCTGCCCTGTCTGTATGAAACCTCATTAGGAATTCCACGAGTTTTTCTTGGTTGCGTAAAAGTATATCCAGTATTGGTTTAGGCTTATTTGGATTTGCAACAAATACCTAAAAAATAACAAAAAATAATAAGAACTTTTCCGCAACATAAACTTAATTCCGTTTGATGCCACTGATTTAGTGATGGTATTAATATACTATTAAAAAAATAATGTCATGTCAGTTTGTCATGGACGAGTCCGAGAAAACGTCTGAGATGAGTTTTTTATTTTTTTTCTATTTGCCAAAGTTTTAAGAATTATAATTTATATTGCGATTTGGGGATTTATTATGCTGTTGGTAATAGAATTGAAATTTCCAAAATGAGCCTACGTTTGAAGTATGAATAACGAATACAAATTTTAGAACATAGCTATTAGGGTTCACTAATTGTATACAAAAAATTTATTCAATTATGATTCTAATACGAGTATTTGAATAGGACCCAGCTCTGTTGCGTGCCTAGAAAATTGTTTTAAATTTTATTTACATAAAATAAAATAATACCTAATTGAATTTGAAAAACTGTATTAAAATATTTTAAATTTAATTTGTTTTTGGATGCTATCCAATTATAAAATTGTTGAAACTGTAAAATTACTTTTTCATAATTACCTTAAATACATGAAAAGCTTCGAATTGAATATTCCTGGATCTTTCTTTTAACATATTCATCATAAGTTTTAGATTGTCAGGGTTGGAAATATACCTTGTCATAACCTACAATAAAGTATACTACATAATACAAAGCAAATTAAAAAATAAAATAAAAAAATAATATGGTTCTTTTACATTCCGAAATAATTAGCTTTGTTCCAATCAAATGTTTTAAAAGAAATGATTTACAAACTGTTTCAGAATCTGATTAGTGCTAAGCTGTTTTGGATTCTTGTTAAAACAAAGCTACTAGGGTAAGTTCGCCAATAGTCAGCCAGTTAGAGCATAATATGAACTTCATAGCCATCCAAAAAATACATGCCTGGTTATAATTATCGTATACTTTATTTATTATTATAAAATATATTATATATTTTTCAAACAAACACTTATTTTGTAATTGTTATAATATGAAAAAATACTAAACACATTTTTGGTAAGAAAAGAACAATTTTCCAATAGTCAGCCCACAAATTTCTGATGTCAGCCACTGTCATCCTAGTAGTCAGCCACCACCTTTTACGCTTGTTCTAATAAAGGACGGAATGTACATTTGGTTAAGACACAGTTAATATTTTCTGGCTTTGCTTGCCACTCTCTCACAGTCTTTTTCCAGTTGGTTTTTAAAGGCTTAAACACGCTAACATCTGCAGGTTACATGATGTGTGTTGTATTTGGAGGAAGGGCATATAAATTAATGCCATTTTCATTACAAAAACTGCTGAGATCTAAAGACAAATGTGATTTATGACCATCGACGAGAAGTAATACCGGCCTAATAACGTTATTTTCATCCAGCCATTTATTAAGTCCATTCTCTCTAAAAATGAATTAGTCAAAAATATCTAATTTAATAGTTATTAGTGACTGCTTTTTCACTTGGACCATGGTTAACCATGGAGTACCATGATATCCCAAAATTTAACAGCCAATTCTTATGTAAAATTGTCCCCTGAATCCGAAAATACCGTCAAAAATTATGAAAGTTTTTGAGATATAGTCAATTCCATAATAAATTTAAAATTATCTCAAAAACTGTTCTACTTTCTTAACTTTTGACGACATTTTCGGATTCAGGGGACAATTTTACATAAGAATTTACTGTTATATTTTGGAATACCATGGTATTCCATGGTTTACCATGGTACAAGTGAAAAAGCAGCCACTTTGACTAATTCATTTTTAGAGAATTAGCTATGTACTCATAAAATGTATCACTTTTCATCCAACCGCTTTCAGATCTACCTAAAAACCAACTGGATGGCACACTATTCAATATTGCTTTGTTGGGTCGAATAAATGGGAAAACAACCATTGGGGTTAGAGTCCTTCCATCTGCCGAAAAAACCAGAAGAACCGTTAAAGTTTCTTTTTCACTTCCTTTCTTGATTTCGTAAATATTCTTGTATCCTTTTGGTGCCAGAACTTTTCCTGATTTGGGGCACATTGCAAAGCTGGTTTCGTCTCCGATAAAAAGGCGAGAAGGGTCTTCCAAATATCTAACGAATTAGATTGCTCTAGGAACTGTGTTAATTTGCGAAACCATTTTCTAATTGATTCCTGGGTAATAATACTTCTTGCCTTTGAAAGACCTTCAGCTTTCCTTAATGATAACTTTTTATGTTGATTGATAAAATGTTGATACCATTTTTGACCCGGTTTATTCTGTTTAAAGGGATTTTTTTTATTTTTATCAGTAACAATTTTTTGCACAGTATTGAAGAGATCCTGCTTCTTTTGGGGAAATCCCCGCCAAGCCAGTTTTCCAATGAATCTTTCTCGCTTTTTGTGAGAATTGGGACCTGATACCATTTTGCGGGGCTCTTCTTTTACGCGAGCGTCTTTACTATATTTATGGACTTTACGACTCTTAAGCCCGCTGTTCAACAGGTGGGAGAGACTCAGCAACTACTATCTATCAACAGTGGTTTCTTAGTCTCTCCCACCTTTACTGTTCAGATTCCCGTTCCCGTTACCGGGCTATTGTGCCCGATAACGGGAACGGGAAAATAAACGGTAAAGGTGGGAGAGACTCGGCGAACCCTATCTATCAACAGTGGTTTTTAAGACTCTCCCACCTTTATTGTTAGGATTCCCGTTCCCGTTACCGGGCTATTGTGCAGCGGGCTTATAACGACCCATATTGCCCTATTGCCCTGTATGACCAAAATACCTGAGTACTAAAACTTTTTTATTGCCCTATAGATAAAAAATCACTCTGTATGACAAAAATACCTACATAATAAGACTTTTTATAATGTTATTAAATGTGGCTGACTACTAGACAATCACATTCCTTAGGTCAGCCATGTGCGCAGAGCTACAGTTTAAGGTGGCTGACTACTGGTATAAGACAGTTTATGGACGTGTTTTATATTTTACAACATAAAGTAATAAATTGCACTATTTTCTTAATACATAGGTTGAATATTGAAATTTTAACTAATAATCCAATGGTCAGCCACTGCGGCTGACTATAGATTTTGTATACATTTGAAAAGCCAGTCCTCAGCCACCTCTAAAATAATTAGTATACATTTTTTTAACTTCAATTTTTAATTGTTTAGGTTAGGGTTATATGTATTAAATACAGGGAAACTTTCAATTTCATTATTTAGCTCAACAGAGTGACTACAAAGCTTATAAACATAGACCTTCTCAACAAACAAATAATCAAGTTTTTTTTACGAAATGTCAGCCAGAGAAACACACCAACTTCAGTCGCCGCCATTAATTTTTTTTATAAGTTAGAAATTTTGACATTTGACAATTTATGGCGGGAAAGGTGGCTGAGTACTGGAATGCAGGCTTTTTAAGGATTTATAGAACGATATTCCTATTCTAGTATATTTTATCTCAACGTGGCTGACCACTGGAACTGGCTGACATTAGGCGCATTTACCCTATAAAAGACTATTTAAAGGGTTATTTTACCACCTTGAAGCTGTATGATCTACAAACCCCCAGGAATTCCAGAAAATTGTTCATCAAAAATAATTTAAAAAGATATAAAAGCGTAAACATCGAGTTTTTAAACTTAAAATAGGTAAATAATATTGACCTTATATTGTTTAGGTCTTATTAAACAGGGTTCACCAAGTATCCTTTTATGTATGGGTATCTTTTTTATTTAAAGAACTACAAGGTTGATTAAACTAGAGAAAATTTGCGTATCTACAAGTTTATTAAAATGGCATTTCAAAATTGGAAAAAAATTCAGCGGTTTTCAAAACCAAAAACCGTTATAACCTCGTTATTCCTGGAAATTTTGAACAAAATAAGTTTTACATGTAAACATACACATTTATCTACATTTTCATTAAATTTGTGATTTTTTCGCCTACTAGGTTGAGTTACCACTACCATCTTATGTTTTTCCTATTGAAATTGTACATGGTTAAAGAAAAAAAGATCAAGGAATCCAATGATCAAACTACATAAGCCATTATAAAAGCATTATTAAAACAAAAGATGGTGTTTATATTTACCTATAAAAGTTTTAACCCTTAAATGCATAAGATTTTATTTTTGGAAAATATACATGAAACGTTTTCAAATAACTAATATAACATAATTTAAAAAATCAAAATTGGATACTTACAAAAATTTATTTTGAAAAAGAAGAAAAAAAACAACATGTAGCAAATGGCTCGTCCGTCAGGCCTTTTTTGCTACTCATGTTACAAAAAGATATAGGACTTTAGTGCATATTGTTGCAAATATACTACAATCAGTATTTCAGATACTCATATAGTAGAATTCATATACCTATAATTACCTATAATTTAGTTTGTCTTCATAGTTATAGGTATATGGTAGAATTCTTATTTATTCAGTAAAGAATTAAATAAAACTGTCATTCAAACGCAATCTATGGTAAAATAAAAATACTTGTTGCAGATATGTTACACCACCCATTTGAGCCAATACAAGTGATGCAGTATGTCTACTATAAGAGTTCCTGGAGCGTTGCAAATTTGCTATGCGATGCATTTAAGGGTTAAAAACCTACTTTTTTTAAATTCCCAGGAATAGCGAAGTTATAACGATTTTTGGTTTTATAAGGTTTTTAGTTTTTTCAAATATTCCTGCATTTTTTCAATTTAATGGAATTAGTGATAGTGAATTTAATTCGCAAAATCACAAAGATTTCGCATCTTGTGCGCATCATCTAGAGTGAACGTCCGCCCCCAGCACCTTAGATTAATAATCTCTCGCATCTTGTGCGCATGCATATATGTTTATGTTTATGAGATATTTAGTTGTAGTACCTTATAATCCTTTTCCACAATATACAAAAGCAAATAAACAATAAGGAGTTTTGCAAAATTATTTTCCTTATATGTTACCCCCCCCAAAAGAAAAAATTATCGACGCCCTTGTATTGTGATATGTATCCTATGTTTGCTTAGAAAATGCATTTAAAATCTGTGTAATGTTTACATTTCTTTAGTTTGTCTTCATAGATTTAATCTATGGTTTTATTCTCTAATGTAAAAAAATAACATAACTTAAGTAATGAATTTGGTCAATTAATTTTAACACTTTCTAATATATTTGTTTGTTGTCATGATTATTAAGAATTAAACTACTACTTTGTTTTAAAGAAAATATGTATGCCCTGTATCTTTTAAAATAATAAAGGTAAAATTTTGTTAACAATTCAATGGCATTTCTGGGGGTCTGCAGATCATGCACCTTTAAGGTAGTTTGCGTCTTTTGGGACACCCTGTATAAATACAGAGAAACAAAAGTTGATAAAAATATAAAACTTCCAGTAGTTTAAGTTGGTATCTTAAATATTCAGTTCAGAAACTGACTTATTAGTCTGAGACATTCAGTAAAAATAATTTTAAAATTTACTTATCACATTGTACTCTGGGTAAATATTTATAAATATGATATCAATACATTTAAATTTATTTATCAAAATTAATTAGATATTTAATTAAGATAATAATTGAATTGGTGAGATAAAAAACAGTACAAGTAATTTTCTAAAATCAATTTTAATGTTCAAAATGCATTGTTGTGAGAATATTTAAATCAGTTTACAAAATATGATTATATTTCATAAAATAATTGAAATATTCTCACAAAAATGCATTTAATACTTTGAAATTTAAAATTACAAAATGACCTGTCAAAATTAAATTTTTGGACTTGTACTGTTTTCAATGATTAGAATTAAAATTTAATTTTCCCAATTTATTTGATATACTGGAAAATGATTACATACACATAGGTATTTAAAATGATTCATGTTTATCTTTATGAGATAGTATGAAAAAAACAGGTTGATTTTAAAACTTACAGTAAAGTTATGCCTGTCTAATAAAAGTTCTCCAAGTAATTTAAGACTTTGACGTCTTGTCACATAGTTTTCAGAATTCAATAATCGCTGATAATGACTGAACACCTTATCATAGTTTGTTTCTAAAAATTCTGCACATAAGATCTTGTGTCTTGTCAATAATTCCTAAAAAAATCAATAAAGCAACCATTCTGTACATTTTAAGTTGATTTTAAAATACTTTAAAAGTAGAAAATGCATCAGATGCAATATCAAAAGTGGAAACTTCAACGTATCTGAAGTAATTGTAAAAATCATCAGAATATAACATTATTTTAGCCAAGGCTTCATATCTTGCACACTCTCTCAACATTGTACCACAATTTAGAGCTATGTCTTGATGTTCATACCTAAAATTTGCTTAATTAGTAAGTGTTTTAATGGAGAACCTCACTGTGATTGTCCAAAAAATTGCCAATTTTTGTAAATTTTATAATCATGTATTTGTTTGTATTAATATAGTTAAAATTATACTTAATCATATGTAAGCAAGATTTCCTCAATTCTTATTTCATTATTAAAACAATGGAGCCTACACAAGGAGTCCAAATTTCATGTATATCTTCCCAAGATAAGAGGGACTGGTGTTTATTAATAAACAATTGTGTGATTTCTACTGAAACCTTACTAAAGCAGCAGAGAATATGCATCTATAATTAGTGCCAATTTATAGGGCAGGTTTTGTCAATTTCCCCTATTAAGTTTAGACTCCTTGTAAAGGATCCATGATTAAAAGCATAGAAAAAATGTCCCAAAAATTAGAAATATTTTGTATCTGTCACAGTAGTGGTCTGCCCTAAAGAAATTAAAGAATTTTATACCCAGTCATTAGTGTAAATAGAATCTCTGGTTTGGTGCAAATATATTCCACTGTGGGCGACCTAGTGCCAATTTGCCTTCTTAAAATATTGTTGAACACTTGGGCAACATCCTTCTTGCCTTCAAAATCGATACGATTAAGATTCTGGATCAGTAGCAGTAACAGGTTGCTGTTGTATAGTTCTTGAGCAAGCTGAGCCACAATTATGTCTGTCTGGGGTTCAGCATCCGATGTACCATACAGCATATTCTTAATTAATACTAAATTTTTGCTGACATCTTCTTGTGCTTTTTCTGCTTTCTTATCACCTTTTTCAAGAGAATTCACTGCTTCTTTAAGAGCTTTAACAACATCTGTGGGGCTTTTTTGTGACTTTCCAAACAGAGGCATCTTTATAACTTATTTGCACAGTATAAATTATAATAACAAATATTACCTATACTCAATAAAGTGACGTTTTAACTGAACTGTTGTTAATAAAAGTTAAAATATCGTGAATCAAATGTTGGGCTTCATAAATTATTCTTTGTATAACGTCAAAACACAAATTCGATCATCACTAACCATTTATTTTGCTTGTTAGTTAGGTTTATATGTGCAAAGAATGCATTAGATGATTTAATTCTCCAGTTATCTTCACCTTGGGATTTTTTCTAGTAATTTTGACAAACAATCTGCCAACACACTTAATTTTTCCGCACCACTAATCAAACGAGGAAAATTTCACTTTTCATTATTTGTAGTGGCAACTATGACATCCTAATATTATTTCTGCTTTATCGACGATACCCTTTCAAATTATTAGATTACCTTCAAATTTATTTATAAAAAAATTAATTTATCAATAAATTAGAATAATATACTTATTATCTTATTATTATAGTTATTAATAATAACTACAGACATATTTATATAACTATAATAGAAATTTTTTAAATTGGCGCATTTTTGACTTATACTTAGTAAGTATTACTTACCTTTTTAATTCAAATTTATTTATTCCACACCCATCTTTAAAACGCCCATTGTCGTACATGTTTCCATGACACATTGACAAGTTGTTGCTTTATGGCGTTTTAGTCACGGGCTGAAGTTTATTTTAATTAGTTGACAGTTGCCAAATGTCATATAATCGTTAAAATAAAGTGCCCTTCTTGTAAAATATTACTAAATGTGAATAGTATATTATGTATCACGTTTGATAAACGCCATTTTAGACACGAATTTAAATTAGGCACGAGCGAGCTTGCGAGTGCTTAATTTTAATTAATAACAATGTTAAATTTTTATGTGTTATAAACACAGATTAATCGATTTATAACCTTTATAATTATACATCGAAATGTATTCCTTGAAAATTGATTAACAACAGTTTTTCACAGTGAAAGTAAAGAAAATGAGCACTTCACGTCCGAGCCCGAATTTAAGATATCCAGTTAACTGCTGGTTAAATTAAAAGGTCAGTACCATATATATGGTATACAGGGTGTTTCTTTTAACTTGAGACAGCTCAATATCTCGAGAAATACGCATTTCACGGAAAAATGTCTTAAATAAAAGGTTAATGTGACTAAAGGGGACATTATTTGGTGCTACCGCTAGCCACCCCATACCCCTCCTTAAAGGTGAAACGGGGGGTAACTTTGGAAAGTCAAATGGAATGACCCGATTTTTTTCACAGAGTTTGGTAGTGGGGCATTCCACGTGGACGTTACTCGGTAATTTTTGTCCCGCCCGTCACAATTAAAAATTGTGAGTAAAAACCACAAGTTATAAAATTAATATTTTATAATATTATTTTTATTGTGCTCATAACTTATTAAAAGCATAATAAAACAATATTTTTAAATAAATTTTATAACGTGTAGTTTTTACTCACAATTTTTAATTGTGACGGGCGGGACAAAAATCCCCGAGTAACGTGGAATGACCCTAGTACATAAAAAAATAAATAACTTTTATTTAAAACTTTTTTCAATTTATCAACAGATGGCGCTGTAATTCAAAATTTAAGAAAAATGAGTTTCCTTGTAAAATGTATTATTTGAAACGTTTGAAAAACAAAAATTAACATTAACAACAATAGTCGGCTATAAAAACAATTTATAACAAATGTTCGAAATGTCGTCATTCCATTTCAACACATTTTTGAATGCGGGTAATGAATTCTGGCACACAACGCGCCAACATATCGGGCGGTATCGCCGCACAGGCGTTCCTGATCCGCTCCACCATGTCCTCCCAAGTTGTAGGAATTGCAGCGTAAACTTTTTCTTTTTAGTAACCCCACTGGAAGAAGTCTGGTGGCGTAAGATCAGGTGATCGAGCAGGCCAAATTACTGGACCACGTCTACCGATGCACCGGCCATTGAACTCCCGATCCAACACCTCTCGAGCAATTGTCGAATAATGTGCAGGACAACCATCTTGCTGGTACCACATGTTTTGGAGCCGTGCTATTGGTACATCCTCCAAAAGGTCCGTCAGATCGTTTTCTAGAAAATTCCGGTACTTTTCGCCATTTAATGCACCGTCAATAAAGAAGGGTCCGATTAATCGTTCGCTTAAGGTACCGCACCAAACGTTTACCGACCAGGGACGCTGGTGCTCCACTTGGTGTCGAAATGGGAGGACGACATTTCGAACATTTGTTATAAATTGTTTTCAGAGCCGACTATTGTTGATTTAATGTTAATTTCTGTTTTTCAAACGTTTCAAATAATACATTTTACAAGGAAACCCCTTTTTCTTAAATTTTGCGCCATCTGTTGATAAATTGAAAAAAAACTTTTAAATAAAAGTTATTCATTTTTTTATGTACTACCAAACTCTATGAAAAAAATCGGGTCATTCCATTTGACTTTCCAAAGTTACCCCCCGTTTCACCCTTAAGGAGGGGTAGGGGGTGGCTAGCGGTAGCACCAAATAATGTCCCCTTTGGTCACATTAACCTTTTATTTAAGACATTTTTCCGTGAAATGCGTATTTCTCGAGATATTGAGCTGTCTCAAGTTAAAAGAAACACCCTGTATATCTAGATTTATAAATTTATCAATATTTATGAAGAAAAAAATGCGTACCTAATTATTATTAAAATTGCAAATTTTATTTTATATTTTTTACAAGCAAATTCCTAATAAATTGTACAAAATCAAAAAATAAATAAACAAATACCTAAACTTAAGAATAAATCTAACCAAGGAATGTAAATGAAAAGTATGTACAGTGAAAAAATGGACAGGCTAAAACAATATAAAAAATAGGTAGTGCAACAATTTGGGCATTTCTCTTATTAACTAAAGCTTTTTTGTTAATAAATGTGGTATTTTTTTTAATCAACCAGTTAAAAAGAATAAAGTGCATTTTTATGATGAAAAAATTAGTCTTATATCACATGAGCATCAAAAGCAAAAAAATAATTTTCTAGCACTAAAAAATATTAAAAACAAGAAACTTGGTGAACCCCATGTTTATTAAAGATAATTGACTTTAAGTAACTTTAATTAAATATTTAAATTAATTTAATTTGTATTGATAAAATTATATTATTTAACAGCTTAAGCTAAATTAATAAAAAATATTCCTTTTAATAAATTAGTTTTGAGTATTATTGCAGTCTTTAAACAAAACATTTGCTAAATTTTACCAATTAATATGATTTAATATTAGTTTCTAACATAATAAAAGTAACAGTGATGTTTTCATTGCTTTCCCAAGAATATAAAAATATTGTATTATTTAGTTAATTTTGAGATCACAGCATTTAAGGGCACAATTTTCCTAATAAATCATGGGGATATAAGTAGTGGTGTGCTGGATACTCATATGCATAATAGGTATATTATGTATTTAATAGTATCCACTGTATAATCTTTTTTTAATATAAAAACACCTATTTGCCTGATTTGTATCCAATCCAATAGTAGGTAATACCTACTACTAGGTATTAAAAATATATAATTTATTACAAGGTAGTGTCCTGAAGATTTAAGTATTATAACTTGAACATGTGGTAATGTCATCAAAGAAAAGTATTATTTTGTGGACAATTTAATGTTTTAAAAATTTATAAGAATTTTCTTTAATGACCACCAGGTGCTGTTTAAGGTACTTATTTATTTAAACCCTGTATATAAATTGCAGATTGATATTGCTCTTTGACAATCCAGCACATCACAAATATTAAGTAACTTTGGTAAATAAACAAACAAATGTGAAGAGTAAAAAGTAAACATTATTCAGAGGGTGTTAAATCCTTTTCTGGTTCCCCTTCATTTAATAGTTGCAATAACAGCTCATGAACAGGTTCAAAAGCTTTTTTACTTCCAGCATTAGTGAGTAACAAATAATCATGCATGTCGTGATGACTTATGGTTCCATCTGGCTGTATAAATCCATTATCAATAGATATTAATTCTACTTTTCTTAAGTTTTCCAAGTTTGTTTTTAAAATATCATTGGTCTGCAAAAGTTTATTTCTTATTTCATTTGGGTGCTGTCCCCTAGGCAGTAAAGTCTAAAATTTATTATTAGTATTTTTGAATTATACAGTGTTCTCAAAAGAAAAGGCATTTATTTTTACATATTCTGGAACAAGCAACTTTAAATACAAAAAAAAATCCAAAAAATATTTTTGACATATACTTTTTAAGCTATTAAGCATTTAAGTTTAAAAACCCTTTATGAAGATGTTTTACACATGTGGCCTATTATAACAAAAAAATGCAACTTTTGCTAGGATATTTTTCAAAATTATCAATAAAAATTATTTTTGTTTTCGAAAAATGAATTTCTTATATTAAAGAGATGTTAAAAATGAATGCCTCAACACCATATATAAAACAGAAAAACATACAGGCACAACAATATAAACATCAGGATGTTTTTCCCTTATTGTATTTATAATTTCCATAATACCCTCCTTGATTTCTTCTGGTGTGTTTTTATGATTATTAGTACCTACATGTAAAACAATCACCTAAAAAGATCAGAGACATAAGTTGTAAAAAAACAAATACACCAATTATTATACTTTAGGCTTTATATGATCAAGTTCACCATTATTTATTCTCCACAGAACATTTTCAATTTTGTCCCTGTGTATCCCAAAGTTTAGACAATGTAATGGAGCAAATAACTCATTCCAAATGTCTGTATGTTGTAAAGCTTGAATAATTGAGTCTCCTATAAAAATAACGTCTGCATCTTTTTCCCTTGTTTCAGAAAGAAAACGTTTGTGCTAAAATAACAAATATTGGAATATAATTTAGATACTTACTACAATACTTACTATACTCAGCCACCGACAGTCGCCATCACTATCATCGACAGGTACCGGTGTCTTACAACTATTCATAATTTATTAAAAAAGTGTAGAAAATAGGAAAAACCCCGCTATATGCTAAATTTTCACCGAGAAAATGACATTTCTTAAACGTCAGATAAACTGGCAAAGAAATTTACTTTACCGACAAAGAAAAGGGAACTTGGATTTATATTTTATTTTACTTTACTACAATATTCTACCGCCAGGTGGCCAACCAAAAATCATGTTTTTTATAAATTTTAATCAAAAAATACTTGTTTGTAACATTAAAAACATTGATTTAAATATTTTTACATGATTATCAGCATAACACGACAAGAGGAATTATTTTATTTTAAATAATAATAATGAAATATTTGCAGTGCCATCTGTTTTAAAACTTGGTACCTATTAGTACGAATTTTCTGTGAAAATTTTACGTTTTTGCATACCGCGTTTTTATGTCAAAAATTTATAGTGTTTGTTCTTTATCTGCATTTCAATTTTAAAACAAGAATATAACGTTACATTTTATCAAGTTTTTCTTTTTAAAGTACAATTTGTTGACACTGAATTTGGCGCTTATTGTCAAAAAGCCACTAGGTTAGCAAAAATGGAGGAAGTTACGTTAAGCGTTTTTGTAGCTCAAATTTTGACTTGAAATTAAGGATTGTTTAATAATTATAGTGTTTTTGTTTACAATTAATTAGTTTATGCTGTTTATATAGTGTTTGTTAGTTGTTTTTCTATACAAGAAAAATTAACGTTCGAAAAATTTTCCGATGCAACCCCGGCAAAAACAATGGATAACTTAAAAGGTGTTTTAGACTATATTAGGAACTTCTTTTCGGGTCCTCTTGATGTTCCAAGAAAAAGGAGGTATGTAAAGTGTTCAGTGCAAAGTATGTTTTAAATTACATTGTATTTTTTTTACTTTAGGGCGGTTGATAACAGTGATTATTTTATTAACCCCAAATGTAGAAAGTTAAGTCCAACAATGTCACATAGAATACCAAACACTGAAGGTTTGCTTTTAAATTATTATTCCAATATTTACTATATCATAATTATTTTAGATAATTGGTTGTTGGGAAGAAGGCCTTCAATAAATCGGCCAAAAAACCCTCCATTAAAGGAAACAATTGTTGTGGAAGAAAATGACATTCAAATTAACAGACCAAGTTCTTACAAATTCAATTCCTCAAATATTCCTTCCTCCACCCCAGTTGACATTCGTTTTAGACAGAAACCCCACACAAATGGCATCGAAGATGATGTTAAATTTGTACGTGAAGAAAAAAGTGTATTTGAAAAATCACAACAAGCTAAAAAGTCTGGTCTAAATTACTTAAGCACACTGTCAAACAACCTGTTTGATATAAAATCTGCAAAGTCTACTCCATCTTTACATCAAAATGGTGCTTTGCCCAAAATTACCAAGAGTATGTCAACTATTAATAGAAATACTCACAAAAACTCCAGTATGGATTTTTCTATCAGACTTGATGATAAGATTCAGTACAAGAAACTCTTGGAAAATGCAGGTAATTATCTTATTATTTTATCTTAAACTGTGGAATTCATGATTTTTTTTGTAAGTCATTGGGTGCACCACAGCATTTTATGCTGCAGATTAAAAACTTCTTTTAAGGTTAAAAAATACCAAATCTAACAAAAAAAAAATTAAAAGGCTTCTTAAAATGGTATACCAAATACTATAGTTCTACATAGTAATGCAAAATGCTTGATCATTTATTTTTGGGAAACATTCACCAAGCATTAACAAGCCTTTTAATTTAAAACTTATCCTGCCAATTCGTGCTCAAAACGGTCAATTGGTCCCAGCGCTAATTTTACAGGAGAAAGGAAAGTACAGGCAACCCCTCTAAATGGCAGTTCAAACAGAGAATGTTTATTGAGTTGTTACATATAAAGTATAAAAAATTAGTTCTGAATAAAATTAGGCCAACAGACTAAGAAAACTCTGTAGTGTTGGGTGATATTAGGTGGCATTTTTGTTATTGTCTCTTGAACAGTGTTGTCAACATAGTAGGATTCCTATCAAAATTAGTAGTTGTCAAAAAGGCCTTGGTAGGAAATTACATTGTTAGTACAGTAGGATTTTAGAATTTTTTAGTGGGATTTAAAATAGTTTGCAATAATAAAATGTTACCAAAATATATCTTATTACAAGCTAGGATAAATAATTATCATAGATTAAAATCATTATCACAGAACACTATTATTATAACAGCGTAATCTGCGGACACACTGAATATATTTCGGAAAATTATGTTGTTTAGTATTTTAATAAGTGTTATGATTGTTTTCTGGTTTCGGGTCCGAACCCCCCTTTTGGGATCAGAAGAAACAAAATTTGACATTTATTAATAAATGTCAAATTTTGTTTTTTCTGATATAAATTTATATCATTATTAATCAGGGTTGTTTATTTTTTTAATTTAAAAACATATCAGATTTTTTTATTAAAACAAAAAACCCACAAAAGTCTTAAGTTTCGTTGATTTCTAGTAGACTTTTTTGTATTGCGAATTATATGTTGACCAAATTTGTAATGGGTCCACATAGACTTTGTACAAAATAAGTGTGGTATAATTTAATCTTTTTTTTTTAAATTTAAATTCAACAATAGACTTAAAATATTTATTATTTATTTAAAATCATCATTATAAAGTATAAAATTCCCTAAACTTCTCTTAAAACAAAACTTAAACAAACAAATAAGTTGTTATATGAAATAATAATAATAAAAATAATATATTATCTAATTATTGAAATTTATTAACTCAACTATTAATAGTTGAGTTAATAAATTGTAGTATAGTATACAGCTAATATACAGCAAGTTCAGAGTAGACCCGAATATAGAAAAACGTATCGGGCGCGGCCTCGCCTCCCTTCAACGCGCGTCACAGTAGCTTAGCCTAAGTGGCGGCTGGTGGATTTTGGGTACACCGATATCTCAGTTATTAGACATGGGACCCATACCAAATTAATATGAGTTTATAATAACATTATATAGACAAGTTCTGCGCAAGCAGAATTTAAATTGAAGTTTGCGAAAAAAAGTTAGTTTTTAAGTGTGCACCCCCAGCATCCTGCCCCCCCCAAATTAAGATAATTCAAATTAAAGTGGTTCAATATTTAATTCACTAAATAATAAACCAATTTTCAAATGTATTCAAAAAATTCAAGTATTTCAGGTTGTATACCATTTTAAATTTTTATTATTTATATTTCTAAATTAGGTATAATGGCTGAAATTTTTTTTGGAATAGTAACTACGCTATATTTTTTTTAGTAAACTTGAAAAAATAAAGTCTACCGCATCGGAAGCCTAGACACAAAAAAACGGGCAACCTGTTTATTAACGCGAGAATTCTCAAAAATAATTTCTTAGCAAAAATTTTTCACGCAAAAGTTTCTTAAAGCTAAATTATCTTTAATATAAAAATTACTCAAAGCAAAAATAACTCCAAACAAAATTAAATCACCATCATCCTATATCCTTCATAAAAGTTAAATTATAAAAAAAATTACCATTAACAGGCATACTTACTGGAGATTTCAGCTAATATGCATAATAACCAAAGCTAACTAACCCAACCAAACCATCAAATAAATTACCGTTTGTTTTTATTTTGAGATTTATTCAAAAATATTAACAACTTATGATTTCGATTTTTTTAAATAATAATACAATAATCACTACATAAAAAAGAAATTATGGGCCTGAGTTATTTTATACAAAAGTAATTTATGTTAAGATTATTCCACTGTGAAATTATTGATGTCAGAAATGAATGCAGTAAGAAATTATTGCAGTGAGAAATTATTGCAATGAAAAATTATTACTAAAAAATTATTGTGTGAGAAAATAAGTGTGGTCTCCCCTATCTAGGGGGTTTCGCACCTAAAAAGGCGCCACTGTTAAGGATTTACTATATTTCGCTTTTTTTAATGATACAATACTTAATTTCACTTGTTTGATTTATTAAATAATTAATTAGCAAACAAGTCGCAAACAGTAAAAAAAAGACCACAAAGAATACGAACTTTAAGGGGACTTAAAAAATGGGATCTGATATCACCAAACCCACCCTGCGAGGGTTTTCTTAGTCGTTGACCTTCTTTCATTTCGCGTTAGATCCATTTGCGCTGGCATTTCTTGTTGCACTGTGTCATTTATAACAATTAGAACGATAATATTAGATTTTGTTTATAAAAAAATATTAGGGTGTGTCATTTTTAAGCAACTTTTTTTTTCAACTAAAAAACAGGCTAAAAACTTTCAAAAAAGTAAAAAAAGAAACCTCTTAAAATTTGAGCTCTTAATATTAACATTAAGTGATGCCTGTTCCTAACTTTCCATTTTCCATTTAAATAACATGGACAAATTTTTTTTCTTTTTTCTTATTTTTGTAGCTTGATATTTGAGCATTGAAAAAACGAACTGAAAAATTATTTTGGTAGGAAATTGAACGCTCTACAAAAAAGTTTCAATATATTTTTTCATAGAGTGAGCCGTTCTGAAGGTATTCAAACTTAAAGTTGCCTTTAACATTTCGAATCGAGGCACGCGTGCCTCTAGTCACTGTGTAATCCGAACGGTAATATACCGACTGAGCCGATATAATCTTTTATCAGAGTTATCAACTTTAAAATTATAAAAAATAAAGAAAGATTTAAAATTCAATACAATAACAAATCCATTGTTTTATTTAATCTATTATAATTATTGAACACAAATAAGTTTTTTTGATAGTAAATAAAATAAAATGGAAAAAAATTGAGATTTAAGTGTTATTTTCTTTTTATACGAAAATAATTATTTTTTCTTAAAATAATTTTTAAGACATAAAAAACTATTAGTTTAATAAAATAAAAGTCATAATTTTATACATTTGCAAGTTTAAATACCTTCAGAGCGGCTTACTCATTATAAATTAGAACTTTTTTGTAGAGCGTTCAATTTCCTACCAAAGTAATTTTTCAGTTCTTTTTTACAATGCTTAAATGTCAAGATACAAAAATAAGAAAAAAGAAATTTTTTTTCCATGTTTTTTAAATGGAAAATGGAAATTTAGGAACTTAATGTTATTATTAAGAGCTCAAATTTTTAGAGGCTTCTTTTTTCACCTTCCTGAAAGTTTTTAGCCTGTTTTTTAGTTAACCCTTATGTGCATTTTTGTTATGCAGTAACTTATTTAATTTAATTTAAAAATGGTACTATGCTCCACACTTCAAAGTCCCACCACGTGACCAAGTACGGAACGCAGTCTTTTGATAAATTGTCATTTAAGGCTTTTCAGGTTATGTATCTGTCAAAGTATAGTCAATGCAAGAAATAATATTTATACTGTTACCATTTATGTTTAAGCGTTAAAAGTTAATAAATCTTTATAGTAGCACAGTAACAATGGTTGGTTTAAGAGTTTAGGAGTATAAATACTGCATTTAATGAAATTCTAAGTGTATAGTGCCAAATAAGTAAAATTTTTGTGCATTTGGTCTACATATATCTGGTTTTATCCATTAAATAGTTTTAACTAAACGGCATTTATTAAAAAAATTTAGCTTGTTTATTATGGAATAAGAATATCTGTATCAAAGGTAGGTTAATATATTATAACAAAAAATATCATCTAATTTTGAAATTTTAAGGTTAGAAAAATCTATTTTGATCAAAATAAATAAGTATTTTGGATTATTTGGAAGAGTGTGTTAATATGGTCATATAAATATAGATATACTAAATAATTGTTGAATATGGTTCAAATTAAATTAAAGCTTTTATACTCCTAACAACAAAACTTGTGCATACCTCGGGATCCCTACTTTAAGTTAGATTATAAGGAAACTAACAACTTTTAGAGATACATGCAATGTAAAAATATTTAATACTCCCATAACATGTGATTTTTGAAATTTTTAAAAGTTATAATGATTTTTCGATGAAGATAAAATTCAGTTGAAGCTTTATAAGTAATTGTATTGACAAAACTTTATGTAGGTATACTTTAAGCTGGATAAGTAAAATATTAGATGGAGTATACTGTGGTTTTATTTAAATTTTAGAATTTATAAGGTTATTTATACCTAATGATTGTTCGATGTAGATAAAATTTTGTCGAAGCTTTTATAGGTACTTGTATTGACACTATGGGTAAATTAGCTGACAGTGTGAGGAACTTTAAGAAGGTTAGCTATTGAATTTTTAAAAAGAATTTACAGTTTTTTAAAATTAAGTATCTAATGGTTTTATATTTGAAATGTTTAATATTGCTTATTTCCAAGAGCCAGTTGTTCAATTATGATGTCTATTTTGTTTTACTCCGGCATAAATATTTTCAACTGTAAAACTTAACTATTTTAAGATTTTTAAAATTAATTAAATATATAAAGGGGTTAATTTTAAAGAAGGAATCTAAAAGCAACACCTTAAAATTATTAAAATTTGCAAATTATTAAATAATTTTAAATAATGTTTTTTATTATTTTACAAATTTCCAAACTTATTTTTTTTCTATATGTGAGTTTTTGAACTTTTATCGATTTTAGATTCTTTAAATTCTTATTTAAAATATATTATTTTTTGTTTATTTAAGGGGTTATATACAGTTAGAAGGCCGAAAAAAAGTGAATTTTTCAGAATTTTTTCTGAGAAAACTTTTAAATTTATTGATCCAAAAATTTATACACATATTATGGTATCTTTTAACTATATTTTAAGACTTAGTACTAGTAAAAATATTTATTTGGAAAAGAGCTACAGCTGATCTCCGGATGCTCCTCTCAAAAAAGACGTTTTGCGGTGACCACTATATCTCTGAACTGGATCATCTGAATTTAAAAAACCAAACAGATTTCGTTAAAGTAATGTTTAATCTAGTAATTAATCGAAGGAATAAGCAAAATAAATTTTTTTGACAAAATGGCGGTTTCTCAAAAAAAAAAATCGATTTTTCACCGAAATTTCGGCCTTAAATTGTTTATAAAAGCAAAAATATTTATCGGAAAGAAAAAATCTTCGATTAATTACTAAAAAATATATTTAAGAAGCTCGTGTTAAAATTTGAGATTAATCGGTTTAGCCGTTTTCGAGTAATGTTGGTCACCGACTTTGAAAACACCATTCAGAGAAAAACGCGTTTAAAGTTTGGAATGCAGTTTACATGGGATAAATTTTTTTATTTTTTAACTTACATGGAGTCGTTTATTCCAGGCCCATATAATACACCCTGTTCACACTGTTGATTTACACATCTAAATACATTAGAAGGGAGCATTTACAAGGCAGGTGCATAAAAGGGTAGTCGCTGCCTCTCCGGCCTTGTACTTCCAAGCACTCTGAAACGCCTTTTCAAATTTGCGTGTAACTTTAAAAATATTCACAGGAACGATATGAAATTTTCTGTGTGTATTCTTAAATATATGTACATTAAGAAAAAAAAATAAAAAAAAATTCGATGTTTTGAAAATTCTAACTGTATGTAACCCCTTAATTAATCAAAGACGTTTATGTATATGTATTTTCTTAAAATTTTATTTAAAATTAAATTGTCTCATTATTTATGAACACCATGTATAATTCTTAATTATATAATTACAAAATAAAACTAATAATATTTTACATACACACATATACATATATACAATATAATTTCCCAAGTAACATTTTTAGTTTTATTATGGTCTTCAAGAACGCTTTAAAACAAAATTTTGTTTTAAAGCGTTCTTGAAAACCATAATAAAACTAAAAATGTTACTTGGGTTATTATGTAGGTACTATATTACCTAATCGGGCTCACTGATCCTGATGAGTGTTATATTGAACTAAATAAGGTATACCTATACTTATAAGTAATATCTTTATCAATACAAAAGGATGTGTGTCATTAAGGTTACTTGTATTAATTTAGTAATTATAAATATATATAGACCCCCAAATAGTACTTTTAAACTATTTTTGGATGTCTTGGAAAAAGTTTTTAATGATTTAGGTGTGTCTACAAAAATTGTTGTAACAGGTGATTTTAACGTAAATTTTACCCATTTTAGTAATTCTACTTTTTTATTTATTATTGTTAGATTTATTTTTGTTCATTGGTTTCAAACAACTATTTTATTTACCTAGTCAAAATTCAAATTGAAAATATTTATGCCGGAGTAAAACAAAATAGACATCATAATTGAACAACTGGCTCTTGGAAATAAGCAATATTAAACATTTCAAATATAAAACCATTAGATACTTAATTTTAAAAAACTGTAAATTCTTTTTAAAAATTCAATAGCTAACCTTCTTAAAGTTCCTTACACTGTCAGCTAATTTACCCATAGTGTCAATACAAGTACCTATAAAAGCTTCGACAAAATTTTATCTACATCGAACAATCATTAGGTATAAATAACCTTATAAATTCTAAATTTTAAATAAAACCACAGTATACTCTATCTAATATTTTACTTGTAGTATTTTTTCTTATCCAGCTTAAAGTATACCTACATAAAGTTTTGTCAATACAATTACTTATAAAGCTTCAACTGAATTTTATCTTCATCGAAAAATCATTATAACTTTTAAAAATTTCAAAAATCACATGTTATGGGAGTATTAAATATTTTTACATTGCATGTATCTCTAAAAGTTGTTAGTTTCCTTATAATCTAACTTAAAGTAGGGATCCCGAGGTATGCACAAGTTTTGTTGTTAGGAGTATAAAAGCTTTAATTTAATTTGAACCATATTCAACAATTATTTAGTATATCTATATTTATATGACCATATTAACACACTCTTCCAAATAATCCAAAATACTTATTTATTTTGATCAAAATAGATTTTTCTAACCTTAAAATTTCAAAATTAGATGATATTTTTTGTTATAATATATTAACCTACCTTTGATACAGATATTCTTATTCCATAATAAACAAGCTAAATTTTTTTAATAAATGCCGTTTAGTTCAAACTATTTAATGGATAAAACCAGATATATGTAGACCAAATGCACAAAAATTTTACTTATTTGGCACTATACACTTTAGAATTTCATTAAATGCAGTATTTATACTCCTAAACTCTTAAACCAACCATTGTTACTGTGCTACTATAAAGATTTATTAACTTTTAACGCTTAAACATAAATGGTAACAGTATAAATATTATTTCTTGCATTGACTATACTTTGACAGATACATAACCTGAAAAGCCTTAAATGAAAATTTATCAAAAGACTGCGTTCCGTACTTGGTCACGTGGTGGGACTTTGAAGTGTGGAGCATAGTACATGTTTTAAGACATCTTAAAATAAGGAAAGATAATGCCTTTTATGTAAAAATTATTAAAAATTAAAACACTTTATAAAACCGAATCAATACTAAAATATTTCAATGCGTTGAATTTAAACCAAAATAAACATTTCCACAAAACGGCCTACGCAGAACAAAACAATTTTTTCATATAATTTTTTTTTATTTCAAAGCTTTTAATTATTTAGAGAGATATACTAACCAAAACACAAAACATTAAACAATTCCAAAAACTTGCTTTCGCAAAACAAAAACATGTTTTCTAGTATAAGGTACAATTGTACCTATCTGTGCGGTATCAGTATATTTATTCTCTATGCACATAAGGGTTAAAAAAAAAAGTTGCTCAAAAATGACACACCCTAATCTATATGTTTAACAATTCTAATTAAGTCCGTTCATTTAAACCTTGCCGCTATGATTTTTAATTTTGTAAAATTATTTTGATTGATTTACTTGGGTTAATATAAATTGTCATCTACAAGAAGTGCGTTATGCCGTAGTCGGCGCACTCCATCACTAACAGAAACTTAAATTTGACATGTTCGACTTTGTTTTTAGGTAATATTAGTGCGAATTCTTCGATATACTACACGCCGATCGGCAAATTGTTCAAACCGGACAGCCCGCCGCAGAGCAGATCGGCGCGGATGCTGGCGATGGCGACCGACAACGCCGACAAGCGCCGCCCTAGCGTCGGCAGCACCGGTCGGGATTCGTTCGGCTCGAGGCGACTTTCGACGAAAGACCAGATCATCAAGATCCTCGACGATCTCGATACGGAGCCCGTCGTGGTGCCGGACGACGAGTCCGATGACGACGTGGTCGTTTGTCCGCCGTCCCCCGAGCCGGACATCAAAGTCGAGCCAGTCAATACATTAAAAAAAGTTATCGACTGCAACCAACGGTCCAAGCATGATTGGCTATCTGATTTGTAAGTATATAATAAAACTTATTCTTTATAATAACTTACAAAGTTTAAAATATAAAATGTTTAGTGAGTGCCATTGTACTCTTGGGTTATTTGTAAATTTAAAAAAAAATTGTAAATTTAAGTTTTAGAATTTATGAAAATACACAGCGCGTCAAAATTAACGCATAATAAGTAAAAAACGCCTTTAGCAATCTTTATAAAATTTTGCATAAAAATACTTTAACTTATATCTCAGTTTACGTGTTCAAGGGTTTTTCGAGAAAATATAAAAGGGCTTTAAAAATATTTTCTCGAAAAACCCTCGAACACGTAAACTGAGATATAAGTTGAAGTATTTTTATACAAAATTTCATAAAGATTAGTAAAGGCATTTTAAAGTTAAATTATTTTACTTATTAAGCTTAATTTTCATGTATCCGTTTGTCCGACATCCGTATGTCAGTTTTTCAATAAAATCGTCCGATAAGAAATGTTCTAATTTTCATGCATCCATTTTTATATGACGTTTAACGGATTGATTTGGCGACAAATAAAAATTAAGGGTCAGTATATTCACTTTACTAAACTTACCTAATGCTTAATTGTCATAGTTACAATTATGTCAACAATTGTAACTTTAACAGTTAGCTGTCTAATAAATTTAAATGTAGGTAAATATACCTTATAAAAAGAATATACTAGCCCTAATATACATTAAAATTTATAGTTTTAAAAAAGCAGGTCCTTTTAGTTCTAGTTTTAATTTTTTTTTGTTTGTCCTTTCTTTTTTTCCGTTATTCTTATTAAATAAAAACTTAACAGTAAAACATTATTCACATAACGAACGTAATATTTTCGTTTTACAATCCTATTGAAAAAATATAAAAATATTTGAAAATAAATTATCTTAAAATAACGTTAGGCGTCAAAAACAGATGTTTAGTGACGGATGAGTTAAAATTATTTAACCTTTCTCTGTCAGACGTACAAAGTTGAAACTTGACGGACCGATAAAATGTCATAATTTTCGAATTATAATTGGAGCGCTCCCGGATAAACGGACTGACGGACAAACGGATACATGAAAATTAAGCTTTATGCGTTCATTTTGACGCGCAGTGTCATATTTTCTACTGTATTGATTATTTCTTTTTCAAAATACACTTTTTTGTTATTTGATTCATCCACATCTTCAGGGTGACAATGAGATTCACAACGATTTCAATCGCTTTTTTATCTTCATATTTGTTATTATTTTCTTCTTCCAAATGTATTTTTTTTTCTTATTGAATTAATTAACGAAAATATCACCAAATAAATCATCCTCCAAACTTATTGGGATCAACTGGGTAAATAAAGGGTACATTGCAATAATCGACCAGAAACACATACAGATGCGATTTTATGAACAGAACAGTGTCTTTAAAAATAACAGATATTTGTTGGTATAATTATAATGGGTGACGTTCACAATATCGAAATTCATTATATCGAATTCAAAATATCGAACACTTTTTATCGAAAATCAAAATATCGAAAATACAAAATGTCGAAAATCAAAATATCGAAAATTAAAATGTCGAAAATGATAATATCGAAAATTAAAATGTCGATTTGAAAATGTCGAATAATTAAAATTTCGAAAATTAAAATGTCGAAAATGATAATATCGAAAATTAAAATGTCGATTTGAAAATGTCGAATAATTAAAATTTCGAAAATTAAAATATCGATTTAAAAATATCGAAAATTAAAATGTATGATTAAAATCGAAGTGTATATGTACAGAGGCGCCTCTGTAGATAAAGTTACGGTTATGCACCGAATTATCTTGGCTCCCTGGCTCCTAGAGATGCGCGTTTTATAGAAATGTACTCAAACTCAACAACACAACCCAACCGACCCCGCCCCATTGCCCCCCCCCCCCGCCCCATTGAGCAAAAAACCCAACTAAAATGGGCAAATTCATGTTACGATAAAAATAACACACTTTTTAATTACATAAATTAGCCCATTTTAGTTGGGTTTTTTGCTCAATGGGGCGGGGGGGGGGCCAATGGGGCGGGGTCGGTTGGGTTGTGTTGTTGAGTTTGAGTACATTTCTATTTCAGAGGCGCCTCTGTACATATACACTTCGGATTAAAATAATATGTCGATTAATTGAAATATTTAAACAAAATATTTTGTTTTAATTTTCGACATTTTGTATTTTCGATATTTTGATTTTCAATAAAAAGTGTTCGATATTTTGAATTCGATAAAGTGAATTTCGATATTATGAACGTCGATATTTTATTTTCGATAAATTGAAAATTCGATTAAATAAAATTTCGATATTATCATTTTCGACATTTTAATTTTCGATATTTTGATTTTCGACATTTTGTATTTTCGATATTTTGATTTTCGATAAAAAGTGTTCGATATTTTGAATTCGATAAAGTGAATTTCAATATTATGAACGTCACCCAATTATAATTATACCAACATACAGTATTGACCATAATTCTTGGACCACTGTAAAAAAAATCTAACTCTAAAACGTCTTTATTATTCTTTATGAAATTTTGGATAAAAATACTTCAACTTATAGGTATCTCAGTTTACGTGTTCAAGGTTTTTTCGAGAAAATATTTTTAAAGCCCTTTTATTTAATTTAATAATAATGAGAAAACGTTCGAAAAATAACTTTTCGGGAAAATTTTTTAAATAAAAAAATGCTGTTAAAGACTGCATTTTTGTCAGTATACCCTGAAACTTTTGTACAAATCAAATGAACAGTAACGAAGATACAGCGATTCAAAGTCGTCAAAAATGACCACTTTTCAGCAAAATAATCAAAAAGGGGCCATTTTTACCGACTTTCAAGCTCTGTATCTTAGTTACTGTTCGTTTCATTTGTATAAAATGTTCAGGGTATTCTAACAAAAATACGGTCTTTAACAGCATATTTTTTATTTACTTAAAAAAAATTCCCTAAAAGTTATTTTTCGAACGTTTTTTCATTATTAAATAAAAGGGCTTTAAAAATATTTTCTCGAAAAACCCTCGAACACTTAAACTGGGATATAAGTTTTATCCTAAATTTCATAAAGAATAATAAAGGCGTTTTAGAGTTAGATTTTTTTTACAGTGGTTTCAAGAATTATGGCCAATACTGTATATCTGTTATCTTTAAAGTAAGACACTGTTCTGTTCATAAAAGCGCATCTGTATGTGTTACAAAATATTGAATATTGGGAATAAGAATTATTATTCCCAATATTCAATATTTTGTAACTCGTTTTTAAAACAAACCATGGATATTAATATTTAATATTAATTTAATGAATGTTACTTCCACAATCCACACAACAAGGTCTGTTCTATCTCGTACTAAAAATATAAAAAATCACTGGAACACTGCACAGTTTAACGGCGGCCATTTTTGTTGTTTACAACTTTTGTGCTTTGGGTTTGTGCTCTGTTTATACAGATTAATAATCGTTTTAAACGTTGTTTCTCATAGTAAGCCTTAAAAGAGGCCTTAAAGTGCTAAGAACAACCATTTTACTCCTCTATTGTAAAAAATAAACTTTATTCTATCAGGGCTGTCATAAAACTGTCAAATGTCAATGTTAAGGTTAAATTATAACCCACAAATTAACATTCAAATTGTCATTTGAGAGCCCTGATAGAATAAGGTATATTTATTACAAAAGAGTAGTAAAATGGTTGTCCTTAGCACTTAAAGGCCTTATTTGAGGCTTACAAGCGCCTCTGTAAGAAACCCAACGTTTAAAACAATTATTAAACAGCACAAACCCAAAGCACAATAATTGTAAACAACAAAAATGGCCGCCGTTAAACTCTGTGCAGTGTTGCAGTGATTTTTAGTATTTTTAGCATGAGATAGAACAGAACTTGTTGTGTGGATTGTGGTTACTTCAATAAAATATAATTTAAATTTTAAAATCTTAAAGCACCCTGTAAAATGTACCTTCCAAATTGTCTTTTTTGACTAGAATGTCAAAATAAAACAATTTAATTTTTTTTACATAATGGGATGTGTTTTGGGCTTGTTTTTAAATTTTGTAAGCAAAATTATTTTTTATATGTATGTAAGTTTTGAAAGTGATCTTGCCCTAATGCTGTGTGTTGTCTTTTTAGAATTGAAAATCATCGAAAAAACATAGAAGTCCGGCAAAGAGAGGTAGAAGAGTTCAGACAGAACGCCGAGTCCTATGGAAGCATCAACCGGGACATCCAACGCCTGCACATCACCTCCAAAATAAACCACTCTTTATCGTTGAAAGAGTCAGTTTTGCCCGTGGACGAGCCATGCGAAGAAGTCGCGCTTCCCGAGCTAACCGACCAGCACTTGAAAATGGTTAGAAGGGCGTTTAGCGGCGATCCGAACGAAGTTTTGACGAGGAAATTCAACTTAAATATCACAAGGCGAGATCTCATGACGCTGGCCGGTTTGAACTGGCTGAACGACGAAGTGATCAATTTTTACATGAACCTGCTGATGGAGCGGGGCAAGGAGTCTCAGTGGCCTAAAACTTACGCCATGAACACATTTTTCTACTCGAAAATTATCAAGGACGGTCCGGAATCGGTCAGACGGTGGACGAGAAGAGTGGACTTGTTTAGCTACGATATCATTTGCGTTCCGATTCATCTGGGTATGCACTGGTGCATGGCCATCATAGATTTGAGGGATAGGAGCGTAAGGTACTTTGACAGCATGGGTAGCACAAACAACCGGTGTCTGGATGCTTTAAGAAACTACTTGGAGTTCGAGCACAGCGATAAAAAGAAATCACCGCTCGATACCAGTGATTTTAAGCTTGAAAATGTTAAAGACATTCCACAGCAAATGAACGGCAGCGATTGCGGTATGTTTTCGTGTACGTTTGCTGAATTTTTAACGAGGAACTCTAAGATCACGTTTAGTCAGGAAGATATGCCGTATCTCCGGAAAAAAATGGTGGTTGAGATAATGACTGGAGAACTTTTGATTAAATAAAAATTTTTGTTTTGGTATAGTTTTTATTTTTCTAAAATTACATTTTTTAAATTATTATTTATTTTGTGGACTGTGTATTTTAAATACGGCATACTTGCTTGGTTGTAAACTGCATTCATATGAACAAATCCTTCAGTTATCCTCTCATTTTCACTTTATTTTAGTAAAATTTATACCTTTAGTGAAACTATACAATTGTATTTAAACTAATAAAATATCATGTTCACAGTTAAGTATTTTCTTCTAGTTGGGTAAGGCTTCCTGAAGTGGACCCTAAAGGGTTGGAATTTTATAACATTTTTTTAAAACAGTCCCTACACTCAGAGAAATATGTCATGAAAAGCATATGAAATTATATTAATTTAAATAATCAGGTAAAATTGTAGTTTTATATTCATTTACCAACAGTTTTACAATGTTTTTAAACACTTTTAAAGTGTACTCTCTTTAAAATATATATACAAAAAGAAATTATTTATTTCATTGCCTTTCTCAACGTTGTTTCAAAAAGATGTATTTATATGTTATACACCTATTAATTTAATGGGACACACCAATGACGCCGAAACATTTGAATCCCTTTGAATTATTATCGTTTTCAATGATTCTACAAAAATTTTTCTCTCAGTGTATAGAGAACTTTACATAAATTTTATAAAAAAATATTCACTTGTTTATTTTTTATAAACAATCAAACTTCAGAAGTGCTTTCTTAAAAAAATACTCTGGAAAGTGTTGTTCAAAGTATACTTTATTTTTTTTTTTAATATTACTTGGTAAGAGTAAAAAAATCGCGCATTTTTCAAAGTTTAAGCTGTCAAGTAAGGGGACATCCATTAATTACGTGAGGCATTTTTCTGATAATTTGGACCCCTCCGTCCCCCTCACGTGAGATTCTAGCCATTAAACTTTTATTGCGGACAACACGATAAACCCAAAAAAAAATTGATTACATTTTTTTGAAAAATTTAAATTATAATACTTTGATCCAAAAGTTGACGTTAGATTTTAAAAAATCCATATACAGATTTTATACCATTTTAAATTTTTAATTATATATATGGTATGTACCATTTTAAATTTTTAATATTTCTTTTCAAAGAAATAATAAAAATTTAAAATCTGTATAATTTGGATTTTTAAAATAAAATTTGAAATTTGTCGATAAACTATGTAAATAATAAATTGCACCAATTTAATTTATATTATATTTATTGGGGGCGCCATAGGGCCGGTACGGCCGAGCAAAAAGTTATCTTTTTTTCGCAAACTTCAATTTAAATTCTGGTTGCGCAGAACTTGTTTATTTAATGTCATTATAAACTCATAAATTTGGTGTGGGTCCCATATCTAATAACTGAGATATCAGTATACCCAAAATCCACCGGCCGCCACTGATTTAAAGTAAAAAATCTATTTTGCGGCATTTTTTGCCCCTGGGATATCTTTACTGAATAATTTATAACTTAAAATCCACGAAAGCAAGAGAAAATCGCGATGCTCGAACTAAAATAACTGCAACTAGTTGCAGTTATTTTAGTTCGAGCATAGCTAAACAATTTTGTATTTTATAATTTAAATATTATATAAACCCGACACTACCTCTTACTTTTAGGAATAATTTTCATTTTTTTTTTACTTTTAATGTAATATTTTTTAAACAGTTAAAGCTTATAAGCTTACCCAGTTCAAAGAAGTAATTTTGTATACAAGTGGCATTCCACGTTACTCCGTAATTTTTGTCCCGCCCGTCACAATTAAAAATTGTGAGTAAAAACCACAAGTTATAAAATAAATATTTTATAATATTATTTTTATTGTGCTTATAACTTATTAAAAGCATAATAAAACAATATTTTTTAATAAATTTTGTAGTTTTTACTCACAATTTTTAATTGTGACGGGCGGGACAAAAATCCCCGAGTAACGTGGAATGACCCACAAGCATTTCCCTAAAATGTATTACTTAAAAAAAGGCTTGTTTGGATTTATTATAGCATATAGCATGTGTATTTTATAATTTAAATATTATATAAACCCGACACTACCTCTTACTTTTAGGAATAATTTTCATTTTTTTTTTACTTTTAATGTAATATTTTTTAAACAGTTAAAGCTTATAAGCTTACCCAGTTCAAAGAAGTAATTTTGTATACAAGTGGCATTCCACGTTACTCCGTAATTTTTGTCCCGCCCGTCACAATTAAAAATTGTGAGTAAAAACCACAAGTTATAAAATAAATATTTTATAATATTATTTTTATTGTGCTTATAACTTATTAAAAGCATAATAAAACAATATTTTTTAATAAATTTTGTAGTTTTTACTCACAATTTTTAATTGTGACGGGCGGGACAAAAATCCCCGAGTAACGTGGAATGACCCACAAGCATTTCCCTAAAATGTATTACTTAAAAAAAGGCTTGTTTGGATTTATTATAGCATATAGCATGTGTATTTTATAATTTAAATATTATATAAACCCGACACTACCTCTTACTTTTAGGAATAATTTTCATTTTTTTTTTACTTTTAATGTAATATTTTTTAAACAGTTAAAGCTTATAAGCTTACCCAGTTCAAAGAAGTAATTTTGTATACAAGCAGAAGATGGTGATAGTAACTTAAAATGTAGTAGCGAAGAAATTGAACACGTGAAAGTTTTATTCATTTTTATTATCTTCAAAATTCCGAGGAATAACGAAGTTATAACAATTTTTCGTTTTTTAGTTCATTTTCAAATATTTTGAAAATCGCTTCGTTTAACCGACCTTGCAAGGTAATTACATCAGAGCTTCAAATATAAACACATCCATTTTCATATACACATAGGCGTATACCTGTTATGAAACAAGAGATTATTAAAATTTGAAGTGATATAATTATCTAAAATTTGTACAATCATACATGCATATAGCAGGTTTTGATTTTACAGCAACTATATGATAAATAAAAGAAAATATAAAATTAAAAAATGGTTTATTAAAAAAAATCAACAAAACATGCACACAAATAAATTATTCATCCGAACTGCTTTCGGATAACCCCGCATCGTCCTTTGGTAACCTCGTTTTTTTCTCATTTTTTTTAACGTACCCTGGCCCCATCTTACCCCTTCTATACACTTCAATTGCCTTCATTTTGGACCTTAACATATGACTTTTATCCATCTCTTTCTGGTAAACAACATCTTTTCTTATGTGAATATTTCGAATTTGTTTTGCTACAATTTCTTTCTTTAGCTCTTTTTCTTTGACTTTTTGCAATAACAACTTTTTATTTAATTCCATGGTTAAGTCGTTGGATATTTCTTCAACTTTTTTAGCTGATACTTTTGTGATTTGTTGTAATTCTTTTATTTCTTCGTCTTGTTTGAGTTCCTCTGGTATTTTTGACAAGGAAGGGTCTGCAGAAATCTTAGCTCTTTTACTAGAAGTACTTTTTGGTTTATCTTGATTTTTAGTTTTTCTAGACTGAGCTGGTTTTGTCTCAGAAACTTTTTCTTCAGATTTTCTTCTAGATCCAGTAGGCTTTGGTTCTTTTGGTTCATTTTTATTATCTTCGCCAGTTTTATTTTTGATTTCTTTTGAGTTTCTTCTCACTCTGACTTTTTTACTTTTAAAATCTTCCGTTTCATCTTTTTTAATCTTTTTGGAACGTTTTGGTTTATCGTCATCTTCGTCGCTAACTTCATCAGGATCTTTACCAAACTTTTCCAAAGCTACTCTGACCCTTTTGCTGATTTTTTCATTGGGTAACCCTGGTTGAATAATAAATTTAGTTCTAAAATATTCCTTAATCGTTTTTTGCGAAGTACTTTCAGCGATTTTTTTAATTACAGGCTTTAGAATTTCTTCAGTCTTTAATTTGGTCCAGCCAAATTTTTCCTTAGCGAAATCTGTTAAAGCGACAATATCAGGTTTACCCCAAGAAAATTTTTCTTTGCTAGTTTCTATAGTGGGTTCCATATAGGCTTGTACAACTTGCAAGCTGGGAAAATTTTCGGAGAAGTGTACATTTTTTAATTTCTTTTTTAGTGATAAACGCGGCTTACCACTGCCCTTTTCAAACCACATGTGAAACTCCTTTAATCCACTAACCAATTGCGATTGTGTTAAATTTATTTGGTTTTTCTCAGTCGCTGGAAAAGCAGCTAATATTTCCATAGCAGTTACTGGGCCAACTCCTTGCAATCCTGTTGTATAATCACTACCAACTAGTAATGCCAATAAAATCATTTGCTCCCTGGAAAGCTTAAAATGATGTTTAATATTCTCAGCTTTGAACTCCATCACTTGCTTGGCCTGATTAAAAAGTTTTTGTACACAGTTTTGCCGCCGAAAAGCCATATATCACTGTCGTCAGTGATGGTACCGTCTGTAAGGTTTACGTCATCGAGAAATGCGCATTGGGCTTCTGCTTCCATTGGAGCTATTATGTAGGGTACACCAAACAACTCCAATAATTCTTGAGCCTCTTGATACATTTGATCCGATATATTTTTTGCCATTCTCTCTTTACTTGATTTTTCTATGAGGAGATCGATTTGCTGATTCTTAAGTTTGTCTTTCATTTCCTTTAGTTCTGTTTCTGATAATCCTGATATTGATTCAACTTCAGATTTTTTATTTTCTTTAGAATTATTATCTATGTTTACTGTTTCCATAATTTCTGGTGTAGTCAGTTCTTTTATATTTTGAACCTCAAAATTTATGCCCTTATTTTTTACTTCAGTTCTTACATTCTTTTCCTCTGGAACCTTTATTATTTCTTCTTTGTTACTTTTAAGCTTTTGATCATCTTTTTCCAATATACTTTCTGTATTTTCAATCTTTGTTGGGTTTATGTCTACAATTGTTTTCATATTTTCTTCTGTAATATTGATATATTTTTTTTCAAACTGCACCTCTTTCTTATTCGATTCATCGACAAAAATATCACTGAATAAATCATCTTCAGGGGTGACAATGGGATTCACAACGATTTCAATCGCATTTATTTTATCTTTATCATCATTTTCTTCATTCAAATGTATTTTTTTCTTGTTGGATTCATTAACGAAAATATCACGAAATAAATCATCCTCCAAACTCTTATTGGGATCAACAACGATTTCGATTTTACTATTCGTTTTATTATTGTCAACTATTATTGGTAACTCTTCAGCATCTGAAACTTCCAAGAAGTCAGAATCCTCATCATCAGACAATGTTTCTTCTGCTGATTTCTGTTTAATTTCTGCTACAGACTGTGTCTCTTCAGCTATATTTTGTTCTTTATTTACATTCTGTTTTATATCCCCTATGTGATTTTTTATTTTCTTTCCGCCTTTTACAGCATTTTTATCAATAATTTTTGCTATTTCACTGGGTGTTAATCCACTGTACTCCATCATGTAACTTTGAGCGGATGTCAAAGGTTTTTTTGGTTCAACGACATCTTCAAAGTCTTCACTTGAGTCTGAATCAAAATTTTCGTCGATAAATGATAATTGGAGATTTTTTTTAACTTCTTCTACAGCAGTGCTTTTTGATGGTCCCATTGATACTTTGGATGTAGAGGGTCCTTCTTGCAATGACAAAGCAATAGCTAATTTAAGATCTTCATCAAATTCTTCATCTGCGATTTTTTTTTCTTCCGACTTTTTTTCAAAAGATGTAGAGATTTCCCCATTTTCGCCTTCTTTAGATACTTCTTCTTTTTCCTTTATAGCCTGAAGTGCTTGCTCATTTTTTGCCTTCTCCATGGCCTGTTTTATATCTTTAATTAAAAGATATCTTGTATTTTCATCAGAAGCTATTCTTTTCCCCATATTTTCAATGGTTATCACACCATGATCATTCAGTATAGTTTCCAATTCACCTAAAGATAAGGAATGGCCACCCATCTCCTTCTCAGCTTCCTCCAAAGCTGACTGTACCTCCTGCCTTTTTAAAAGCCTTCTCATTTGAAATACAGAAAAATCATTACTTTGGCTAGGTAGTTCATGCAGCCGTCCCCATGAGGATTGCTTCCTGGTTTCTTTTAGGTCTGTAAGTATTTCATGCCTTACATCAGCCGGTAAGGATTTAAAATAGCTACTTTTGGTTTCGATTGTATGTAAGTCGAACTGCTTGGTAGGGCTACTATCAGTTTCTGTGGTTTCTTCAGTTAAATACTCTGAATCATCATCTGAGGACATGGTTGAGTCGAATTCAGTAGCAGGTAGTATAAACATATTGTCTCTTTCATCTTTGTTGTTTTTAATTGGTGAAATTTTTTTGGTTGTTTGGCTTTCAAGGGCTGCCTTTGCTTTATCCGAAAGAACTTTGCTGATGGCTGAATGCTTGAGAATTGTGTTGAGAAGTTGCTCTTGGATTTTGTTTGCATCATTTTGGTTACGTTGTTTGAATTGATTTCTTCTTTCCTAAGAAAATTGAATAAAAGATTGTTAGGTTATGTTTCGGTCAACTCACGATCGTTTGTTTTTTAAGCACGGGTACGCCTCCATCGAATACGAATATGGGTTTTATTTTGAAGTAAAGTAGTTTGCAGACTCTATGATAAATGCCTAACAAGTGGGCGTTTGGTAGCGAGCCTCCTTTGGCATCCTGAAACCCTTTTATGGCTTGGTGCAACCAAATGGAAACATCTAAAAGCGTTCAGAAAAATATTTGGTAATAATTGGTTAATAATTGATTGCCAATAAAAAGGATACCGACAGCAAGTACTTTGTTTTCGAGTGTCTCCAATGGCACGGGCTTGCCGGATGGCTCAATGAGCCGCCAAAGGCCGTGAACTCCCATGGTCAGAGGCGCGAATACTACAAAAATGTGGTATTTTTTCCCACGCTACAAACGTATATAGATCGTAGAGTCGCTAATGTCAGTGATGGGCTGTTCCCATGATTTAAATGCGAGAACATCAAATCAGAGGAAAACAGAGGTAATCTCGCCGGCTAGCAGTCTGAATTACATCGCGGTCCGCCGGTATCAAATGTTTAAGGCCACCCACTCTTTCCCACACCATCATTTTCCCACGCCCCGGCTGTAACCCCAACATCCTCCTTCCCTCATTCGACGTCCTGCGAGACGCGAGGGACGCATCGCGCTCGGACACCGTATTATCAATTAAGCAGCGTTTACAAACCGCGACCAACTATTTCAAGAATGCACTCTACCAGGTCCATCCATAAACAACAACAAAACATTTAGAAATAACCCTATATTAATATCGATTATCATAAACAATATAAAAAAATAACAACACTGTTTGATTTCATATGTTCATTGATAATAATTAAACGGTATTGATAAAAGAGAAAAATTAAAATTATAGAAATATGTTGAGTACTCCTCGTATAACGTGTGAACTAGTATAGTCAACAAACAAATGTGAATCGACCTTCATGCTGCCAATATCACGAAAATGAACGGCATAATTTCGAGTTAAATTTCAGCATCAATCAAGTAAATCTTCCTCGATACTGCCATTTAAATAACACTTAGGTGAGATCTTTGCGAAGAAAACCTGTGAAAGTCTTGAAATAAACGAAATATGGGATTACTTTTAATGTGTCAGAGTTGGCCAGACTGTCGGAAAATTCAAGTTTTAAACAGGTGTTTTTCGAATGGAATGAGGTAGCACGCTTAGAGGGGGAACAGCGAACAGCAGCATTTGTTCTCACGTATAGCGGTAGCTGTGAAGAGTTTTAAGTCACGAAGTGCGGTGTTTACGGTTTGTTTATAGTGCACAAGACATTCGCCAACACACACTCCTCTAATTACAAGCGGTTCATCAACGCATCTTCCCTCAAAAGTTTATTTTTAATTCATAACTCGGAGTTACCATGACGTGCGGCAATTAAGTTATGTAAAGTGACCGTGTGCGTTCCTTTTACCGATAATGCCTCACCAGTACGGATTACCCGGTATAGCACACGCTCAGTCGCCCCCTACACCTCCACCCCAACATGGGGCCATGTACCCCAGGTTTTCTGGGGCAGTTGTGCCAGGTGGTTACAGAGGTGAAGACCGAAGACTCACCAGAGAGGCCATGGAGAGGTACCTAAGGGAAAGGTCTGACATGGTGATCGTAATACTGCATGCTAAAGTAGCTCAAAAGTCTTATGGTAACGAAAAGAGGTTCTTCTGCCCTCCACCATGTATTTATTTGTTTGGGGATGGCTGGAGACTGAGACAAGAACAGATGTTAAGGGAAGGTGAATCGGAACAAGCATCACAACTTTGCGCTTTCATAGGTATAGGAAATTCGGACCAAGACATGCAGCAGTTGGATTTAAATAATGGCAAACAGTATTGTGCTGCTAAAACTTTGTACATATCAGACTCTGACAAACGCAAACATTTTATGTTGTCTGTTAAAATGTTTTATGGCTCTGGCCATGATATCGGTGTGTTTCATAGTAAAAGGATTAAAGTTATTTCAAAACCTTCAAAAAAAAAACAAAGTTTAAAAAACGCTGATTTGTGTATAGCTAGTGGTACAAAAGTTGCTTTATTCAATAGGTTAAGATCACAAACTGTTTCAACTAGGTATTTGCATGTTGAAAATGGACATTTTCATGCTAGTTCGACTCAGTGGGGTGCCTTTACAATCCATTTACTGGATGATAATGAATCCGAATCTGAAGAGTTTCAAGTGAGAGATGGATACATTCATTATGGCTCAACTGTTAAGCTAGTCTGTTCGGTTACGGGTATGGCTTTACCAAGGCTGATAATCAGAAAGGTTTGTAAAAGATAATATTGAATTACAATGTAAAATACTATTATTTAACCAAGCAAATATAAATTTGTATTGAATATTCAAAATTTACAAAGATATAGTGTTTAATATGACCACATGAAAAAATTGCTCCTTCATTGTCCCAATAATATATATCCTTGTGAATTTTCAATATTTATCAATAACAAATTTATATTTACAAGTAGGTACCTACATACATAGTAAAAAGTATGGGTAGGTACTTATATATCTCTTTGACAAAATCCTTTTATGATAATATAAACTAAGCAACAAATACCAGGGTTACAATTTTTCAAAATTATATGCTTTTTTTAATTAAGTGTACCTACTATTAAAAAAAATACTGAAAATAACTTGACTATAATACGTCACCCTAATATAACAAGGTTGTATGTTAAAAAACGGAAAAATTTGAGTTTATGCTTCTACAAGGTTTTATGTAATCCACCCTTGACATAGAACTTGAAAATAACTCTATATATATGTATACATAGAATATTCATACTATAGAATTATTTTTAAGTGGTATGTGAAGCGTAGGCCACATATAATCGTATAGAAACATAGACTTAAATTTTTCGTTTTTTTTTAACATACAACCTTGTTATATTAGGGTGACGAATAATATTATATTGGCACTACTTTATAAACAAATAAACCACCTTCCTCAACTGTCATATATTTTTTTGTATATTCCTTTATTATTTTATTTAACAAAATAAGCAGTTTTTCTATGCATATGAAATTATTTAAATAGTGTCAAGATATTATTGTGCTTTAGTTTTAGATCTTTTAAGTGCTTTTTTAGATTTTAGAAACTTTTTTTAAAACTGATTTAAATCATTGATTAAAATAAAAAAAATCACTTGATTTAAATTAAATGATTTAAATCTGGCAAACCCTGACAAATACTAAAAAAGATATTGTCACATTTTCGTTAAAATTCTCTATAGGTATGTTTTTTTATTAAGTTGTATTTTCAAATTTTCGTAAAATAATTTTTGACTTAAAAATTATTATTAGTAATAATATTGTATTCACTTATAATCGCAAATTTGGTTGGAACATTTTAATTTGACTTTTTGTAATTGAATAAATAAAAGAAAGTTGGTAAATGTAAAACAATTGGTGAAAAACCTGAAAAAAAAACCTAAAAAGACTGATGTTTTTCACATTACATCTACACCTTATACGTAATATAAAAACCTAATTAATTAAATTAATTGAAATAAAAAATACATAGTTAAATTACTTACCTATATTTTAAAATTAAAAAACAATCATTTTTAATTTACATAATAATAAATAAATTGTACCTAGTTAAAAACTAAACTTATATTTAAAATTTTATTTTCAGGTGGACAAACAACAAGCCCTTCTAGAAGCAGATGACCCAGTGTCTCAACTCCACAAGTGCGCTTTTTACATGAAAGACACTGAACGAATGTACCTATGTCTGTCCCAAGAACGAATAATCCAGTTTCAAGCCACTCCATGTCCAAAAGAACCCAACAAGGAGATGATAAATGATGGTGCTTGTTGGACCATCATTTCGACTGACAAAGCAGAGTACCAATTCTACGAGGGTATGGGGCCTGTCAGGTCACCTGTTACTCCTGTGCCTATAGTGCATAGTTTGCATCTAAATGGTGGTGGAGATGTGGCTATGTTGGAACTTACAGGTATGCAAAATTAAATCAAATATAAATAGGAATTGTGTGGAATATCAGTAATAACAGTATCAGGCAATATTTCTCAGATACTCAAACCTAAATTACATAGAAAATTTACAATAAACAAAATATGTAATAATTTATTATTATAGGGAATCTGCAATGCTTAAACTTATTAAACATAGACCCAAAAAATATGTATCTTGTTCTAATTTATTGCTTATTTTTTTTTCTTTTTAAATATAATTTTGAAAATGGATTGTTTTTACTTTTACTTAATGATACTTCATATCACTACTATTTTTAAAAGTTTTAAGTTTGAAGATTGTGGATGAAGGTAGTGTAGCAAAACAATTGTCAAAATTTTAATTTTTTTATTTACAAAGTATATAATTTGAGTTAGTTTTTATAAATTCTTTATGGATGTTTTAAAAATTATTAAATAAATACTTTTAATTTTTTTATTGGGCATTTAGCATTTTTTTATTGGGCCACTTTGGGTTATATTGGTATGCTTACTATTATTTTCTACTACCTTACTAGAAAATTAATTTTCCACCCCCGCGCGAGGGAGTTAATTTTTCCTCCCTCTTTTTTTAACAATTTTACATTAGCAAGAGTTTTTGTACCTTGACTAGCCCTATTTGATTTTGCAGAAAAAAGATTTACTTCGCGCTTGTCCAACCATTCTTTTAACAAACTATATTCATTTTCATATCGCTCTTTCGATTTTTAAGGAAGGAAATTAATTGCAACTATTCTTGCCTCTAGCAAGATCTTGCGGCAGGTCTTCTTCGCTAGAACTCATTTTCAAAACGTAGGAAGAATTTCAAATTTATGATAAACATTCTGACGGCTTATAAAAACTGTTATGTTTGTATTACAAAAAATACCATAGCAACAAACGCTTAAAATGTCTTAAAACCGTCAAAAGATAATAGAAAAAACTATATACATACCTCAGGAGGAAAATGCGTTTCCTCCCTTGAATATTTAATGCCCTTCGCTTCGCGTCGGGCATCAAACTATTTGCGGGAGGAAAAGCACTATTTTCCTCCCATGGTATGTAAATAGCTATTTTTGATTACTAATTGGTATTTCTGTTTGAAGTTTCAATTATTTTGGCAATTAATTTAAAGTTAAAGTTTTAAAATATTAATTTTTTTATGAATATTCTAATATTAGCTGTGAAATTTTCAATATTATTTAAAATCAACTACATATTACCAAAGTAAGAAAGCTACTGTGAAATAAACTGCGCGTTTACAAGAAATAGTTGAACAATATTTATTTACCTAACTAGTGCGAAAAGTGCTACTTTTCCGCGCGTGTTAGGTATAGGGTTGCAACTTTTCATGAAAAGTTGAAATTTTTGAAAAGTTGGGTTTTATTTTTTGGAAAAGTTGGAAAAGATGGAAAAGTTGAGTTTTTTGTAATGAAAACGTCAATGCTTGTCAATGTATTAAAATAATTTATTTCTAATGTATTTATACATACGTAACAAGTTGTTTTATAACAAAATAACAAAAAATAAATAACAAACAAAATAAAATGAACAGACAACATAATCACAACAAAAATAAACTAGGTTTGAGTTAAAAAAAATCATATTTTTTAAGTAAAAAACACATAGGTACGAAATAAATCTATCGATTTGGCAGTCCATTTACCAAAAATACCTTATTTTTTACCGATTTTCACTTCGGTACATTTTAGTTTATTTTTTTAATAATGAGTTTTATTCCTTGTTTTTTTTTCAATTTTAAATATTTATCTTATTATGACGATATAATTCAAAATACGTGACCCACATATTCTTATTGAATAAATTTTAGCAACTAAAATACGTTATAATAAAACAATCTTTATAAAATTGAAAATGCTGTTAGCAGACACCATTTTTGATAAAGTTTGACAGAATGTTATTCCAAAAAACAATGATTTTCGCACGTTTTACTAAAAACACTTCAAATCTAGCGATTTATATCGAATTTTGACCAAATTATCTACCGAAAAAAATTTATGGTAGTGGAAATACTGGTTAGAAGTCAACTCATTGTTCATTGGCTCCCACCTAATAACTTTTCCAACTTTTCCAACTTTTCATAGGGGGTGCCGAACTTTTCCAACTTTTCGACCGAACTTTTCCTTGTTTGCAACACTAGTTAGGTACAATATCTTTTCTACAAACAAAGGAATCTTGGAATTTTCCTCATCAATAGAAAATAGTTGCTACTTTCCGCACTGGGTTTTTTAAAGTTAGCTCCAATTGTTTTGTATGTCCTTATGAAGTTTTTAAGTTTTCGGTAATTTATTGTAAATCGATAAACTTATATAGCCTTTTTTTTTACTTGCTTTGGTCTATCTCACTTAATATTATTTTTTTTAATTCCAAACCATAAAAAATTAATTACTAAACTAATGAAACAAATATAACTAATTTTGTGTAAATTAAATATGTAATAAAAGTAAAAGACAACACGAATAAAACAAAAACTTAAAATAAGTTTTGAAAATTCCGACAGTCGTAAAAAATCTCTAGAACTAAGGAAAAAATCACTAAGTAGGCAACAATTTGTATGCTAGTATAGGTATAACCAGCTTACACTTTAAACTACATTTTTGACAAAATTTTTTAAATATGAAGTAAATATTGAGTGAGTTACGCAAAATAAAAATCTAAAAAAACAATTTTATGAACACTTGAACCTGAAAACTAAATTTGATTGCATCAATTGTTCATAAAATAAATTATTTTGAAAATAAAAATCTTTTTACAAAGAATAATTCATTTATTGATGCGAAAATTTAATTTTTAACGACCACCCTAGTGTAATTGCTGTCTTCTGTATTTGCAATATGAGGCAGATTTTATTACTAGTTCTTATCTATTACTTAACATTTTGTTAAAATTAAAATCTTTATAGAACCTCATTAAATAGGTACCGATTCTAGAAATACACTTAATTTTACCGGTATTTTTTATTTTCAGGAGATAACTTTTCTCCGTCCCTCCAAGTATGGTTCGGCGACGTTGAGGCCGAAACAATGTACCGTTGCCAGGAGAGCATGCTCTGCGTGGTGCCCGACATCTCGCAATTCAGAGGCGAGTGGCTGTGGGTGCGTCAGCCGACTCAAGTGCCCGTTTCCCTGGTGCGCAACGACGGCATCATCTACGCGACCGGACTGACGTTCACGTACACGCCCGAGCCGGGCCCGAGGCCGCACTGCGCGCCCGCCGACGAGATTATGCGTCAAGGGCAGCGCAGCGGGGCTCTGGCGCAGTCGCAATCGCAAGCTGCGATCGCGGACGCTCCGTGGAACACACACGGTATGCATTAAGATATTTTGCGGTTTTAGAGGGTGTCCCAGCAAGAACTTTGATTTAAAAAATTCATGTGCGTTTAGACCAGTCAGGTGATGTGAAACTTATTTTGGACAATTCATTTAAATTCGTGTTTTGTTTTTATTTGACAATCATTATGTTCTTTAGGTTTCCTTCAATAATTCAACATTTTTAGTGCTAAAAATTTTATTTATTTTATCTAGTAATATCATTTTTATCAGCCGTGACTAGGGTGTCGTAAAAAAAACGTAAAAATTGGGTAAAAAGCTGTTTTTATTTATTATTTATTAAAAAAAATATCCTTTATCATAGGAAAAAAACAAAAAAACTAACATTGAATTGAATTTAAATGATTTTTTTTCGAAAATACTAAAATACCTTTATTGCAAAAAAAATAAAACTGAATAAATTGCCTCTCCTTATAGAAAAACCTTACATAAAAACAGAGGTAATTTGTCTTCACTGTCATCCGCTGATAAATTTAAAATTACCACGAAATGTACGTAAAAATTTGGAAATTTTCAGAAAAATCGACTTGCATTTTTATCTTATTAAAAAAACGTTTTTCCCTTAAAAAACGGAAAATCCAGGAAATTTTCAGAAAAATTGTCTTAATTATCCGTTAAATAAAATGCAAAAGGCAATTTTTCTTAAAATATCCTAGTTTTTTCGTTTTTTTAAGGAAAAAACAGTTTTTTCCCAAAAAAGCGTTTTTTTTTGCTGGCCCAATTTTGTCGTAAATTTGAAAACCCTTGTTTTGACATTTAATTTTAAGGTAGAATAAATCGTCTTATGGTATAAGAAATATGAAACATTATTTATATGTTCTCAATCACGCTTTTGAGATTTTATGCTTATGAGATTTTTAAGCTTTAAAGCTTTTTTGATCTTTAAAGCTTTTAAAAATTAAAAAAAAATAAAAATTTTATTTTCGAATTTTTGATCTACTGCACAGTGGTTGAAAATCCCAAAACGAATGTCAGTATATAAAGTTATAATATACGATAAGAAACCGAGTTTCCGATCTTACACGAGTTGATACCCCGTGTGAAGAGAGCAGCTGTCAGAGAAACAATTTGCTGCCAGCAATTACGACGCGGTTGCTCAAACAAAACTGTAAGTGGACGTAATTTTTCACTCTAGTGTTTTCTGATTCGGCTTGCCGGAGGGTGCTGAAGTCGATCACGTACATATATAATTTTGATAAATTAAAACCTTTTGTGTGTACGGAAACTGACGTGAAATGGTGGTCCACAAAAATCTTTTATTTTAAAATAACTGAACCGAAATTGATCGAAAAAGTTTTGATCTCAGACCATCAAAAATTTAACATTTGTACAATCATCTTGATTTATGTATATATATGTATACCTTGTATATTTTATACAGTGTGTCCACGGATGGACTTAACTATACTTGTAAAAATATTTACCTATTTTAAATTTTTCGAGAAAAAGTCATTTTTCATAATTTCTTTTGCTTGTTATATAAATACGATTTAGTTGTACAGGGTGATCAAAAATACTGATTTTCAAAATTTAAAAAATTTTAAATAAAAAAAACTTGAAGCTCTAATATAAAGAGTTCGTAAGGAAAAATTAAAAAGTCAAATAGAGTTTTTTGACATGAGTTTTTGATACTAAGATATTTGATATTGAAAATTTAAGATATTAGTTTTCAAATTTTAACAAATAATTGTTACAGTAGATATTGTACAACCTTGATTCATAATCACAAAATGAGATAGCAGTCAATTTCTACAAAATAATAGGACCACTCAAGTTGGGACCTGAATTGATTTTATTTTTAATAACAAATATCTTAGTAACAACAACTCACATGAAAAAACTTTATTTGGCTTTTTGGTTTCTCCTTACAAGCTCTTCATATTAGACCTTCAAAAAAATATTTAACAATTTTTAATTTTGCAAATTGTACTTTTGTGCGCACCCTGTATAACAAAATAGAAGTTTCTCATAGTGAATGGTATTTATATAACAAGCAGTAGAAATTATGAAAAGTGACTTTTCTTCGAAAAATTTAAAATAAATATTTCCTTCCATCCATCCTTCCATCCTTGGACACACTGTAAATGACTTAAATTTTATTGATGTCGGGATGTTTGGAATTTTCAACTACTGTGTACTGTGAGAATTTGTCATACCATTTTTTAAAGTTATGCTACTTTTCGAATTTTATTCTAATAAGACGTAGATACGCGCGCGTTGTTTCCGTTTTATTTTTCGTAACGTAACAAGTTTTGGTTTACCCTTCAAAACATAGTAAAGTACGGGACTTTTTAGAAGAAAGCTGCTAACAAAGCCATTTTATGTCAAATTGGTTAAGTTAAATGTCATTATTGCAGTGTTTTTATAACTAATTTAAGTAGGAGCTTGTTGGGACACCCTCTACAAGGGTATCTCAGAGTAAATTATACTTTTTAAAGCTTTGGAGCCTTGAGTTTCGTTATAAAACATAAAATTATTAAAATCAAAATAATACAAGTATTTTGATAATTTTATTTATAAAAATATGACTACATGCGTTATATTTCCCTTTGTTTTAATTAATAAACATTCCATTATACCTCTACATATTACTCACTCACCCTTTTAAACATTTAGAATGTTTAAAATTGCCTTATTCACATTAATATGAAACGCAATACTTTGTATATAAAATTTGTTTAGAATCTCTATGTATTTATCAGTGTATTAATTTTTATTGTGATATATTTTAAACATCTAGGCTTTAAGAGATTTTTATATTGTTCTGATGTAAATATTACTTCCTATGGAAAACCAAAGTTAATTAAGCTTATTGCAATCCCTTTTTTAGATAACTTTTGTATAGTTTTTAATGATTTTTTCCAACAGTTAGTTAAGGATTAATTTAAAAGATTATTAAACAACGAATTTATATTAAAAAAACGTATAAATTTAAATATGTAAATAAGTATATAATTATATTCCATAAAAAAGGCAAATAATTTTGTAGAAATACAAAAAATTCAAAAAAGATTGTTTTGTTTTTGCTACCCATCTATTTTTAAATATTTAGTTAGTAAATATCTATATTTTCCTTAGGTTATTTTCTCCGAATATGAAAATTTGCATGTTATATGAAATGCTGTTTAGTCAAACTAGAAATCTAAAAATGCTTTCATCTGATTTTTCAACTTTCTGCAAATAAAAGGTAAGTTTCTTATTTATTTAAGATGAGCTTAAATTGTTATGATTGTATTTTTGCACCAAACTACGTCTTAAAACGATTTAAATAAATATAACAACTTTACAAGGAAGTAGATTTTTTTCTCACAGATTTAAGTAGTTCCCACGGATAAATAAAAATTATTTCTGCTTTAAAAACATGGTTATTTATACCTGAATGTGGGAATTTTAAGGCAACAATAGCTTTATTTTTAATAATTACTTTCCTACTGTATATTAATTAGGTGATCCCATTCTCATACTTAAGATAGTAACTTAGATCTTATAGGCTCCTTCATTCATTTTTACCATGGGAAAACTGTTTTGTTGGATTTTTAGTGTTTTTTAGTGCCATTGAGGCGGTTTCTCTTTTGATTTAAAAAAAATAAAATTCAATAATCTAAATAATTTTATTTTAATAACTTATTTACAACATTATCTCATTGATTGGTAAATGTGATGTAAATTATTTACACAAAAATATAAATAGTACCTATAAATATACTCATACCTTAATACATGTAAAAATATTATTTAAATGATATTCATTACTTTAGATCCATAAATTTGTAGAATATAATATTTAACATTTTCTATAAAATTGGAAGCACGGGCAATATTCAGATTCAACAACTCTAATAAAATATCAATAGTAAAACATGATTTATACATTAAAAGTTTAACTTTATTTAATCCTTATACTTCTTTGCTTATTCATGTTTGTTAACATCAGCGAAATGTAGGAGGTGAGTAGGTCGTCCATTTTGTAGCCTAGAGAGGTTTCACACAGAAGCTTTGAACCTCTCACCAGGTTTCCAATTGTCATATGGAAATATGTATTGCCTGAAGACCAGTTTGATATTCTGGTAAAGGGATGAGTGACTAAAATTTCCTGAAAAAAATATTTTTATTAATACACGTTGAATAATATTTATATGTACATATATTGTGCGAAATATATACTGTTTTAAGATAATACTAGAGATAAGAAACAATGTATTATAGTGTAGTTTTAACAGAGTTAATTAAAGTTATATCCTAATTATCATTAAATTAATCAAAAGTATGATAATATCATATTATGAGCTGTAATGACATAATTAGGATAATTTTTAGATTTAGAAATTTGCGAAAGCTTTTATAAAAAGTTGACAAATACTAGATTTCAATATTCACTGTTATTTCAACCAATCAGGTTTTAAATTGGGAAATTGGGAAAAAGTAAAACAGATGCCAGATTTGTTTATTTATACGATGGGCGACTATAATGATCTCTAAAATCGGGGAAAAGTAAGGTTAGAATAAATTTTTTCAATGAAAATTACTTTATTGGAGTAGAAAAAGCATAGTATTACACTCGAAATAATGCGCATTATTTACTCGGTTGAATTGAAACCCCGTGAATAATAGTCTGCATTATCTCTCGTATAATAATATACTATTATATAACATTTCATATTAAATGTCACTAATGTAACCATTTAAAACTTTCCTTATGAATCTTAAGATTAACCTTAATTAAGGTAAAGTTTTAAATTTAAGGTGGATGGAAATCATTTATGTTAATGCAAGTAGCAAATAATAATATAATAATATAATATACTAGTATATTCTGTAACAAGTTTGGAATACGGCATATTCCGCTCGAGTGAAAAGTTTGTCACACGAGCCGAAGGCGAGTTTGACGGTTTCTCAAAAGCGGAATATGCAATTCCAAACGTGTTTCAGACTACTTTTTCTACGTTTCCAAAAAATACCATAAAAAAATAATTTATTTGGGAAAAAGTGAGGTTCGCTCGGTCTAAAATTTGTTAGATATTAAACACAGAGATGTCGCCACCAGTGTTTATTCTGTCATCCGATGATAGAATGTTTCATTCTGTAGCACTTTATATCTATGCCATTCCACATTAAAAAGTGATATTAGAATGGTCATATTCCGTAATTCCAAAATAATGAAAATGTTTTCAAAACAATATTCCAACCAATTTAACTATTGTAATACTGGCTTGGGAGATGATGTTAATGATGTAGAAACTTGGATACGGAGTCCGTGGACAATAAATTATCGTTAATCTTCTGATTTTATAAAAAAGTACTTTTTTACTTAAAATAATTGTTTTTTAAATTTAAATTTTGATATTTAATAAATTTTGAAACAATGTTTTATGTTTTATCATTTGGGGAGGGGGGTTCGATATTTTCGATTAAACAGGGTAAGGGGGTCCAAAATCATTGAAAATACTACAATCAAATAAAAGTTTAATTTATTAGAAACAAAAAAGACTAAATTGTCCTATGAAATAAATTTTTACTTTGTTTAAGATTGCTCTTAAATAAAGGCACGGGTTTTGCTTATAAAACGAATGCACATATAATTAAACTACATAGATTATTTCATGATTAAGAATGTGTCTAATATAGGTAATTATTTATTCATTAAAATAATTAAATCATAATAGAGAATAAAGTAATGAATGAGCTTATGATAACAAAAACAGGAAACACGTTGCTTCGTGAGAACTTCTTGTTGTATTCTTATATAAGATATTTACGTATATGAAACTTTTCTCAAGTACATGCTGAGTGTTAATTGAGCATTGTAAAGTACTTTTTCCGTTTCTGAAGTAGTTTTACGATTTTAAGGGGTTTTAAGATAAAAATTAAAACATTTCTTTCGTGAGAAGATTTGTATTTTTCAATTTTGTTTTATTACTTTATAACCACAGGGTGTAACATGAAGGTTTGAAGTAGAGTTTTAAATGAAAAAAAAATAGTTTTTGCTTAATAACTTTCGAACACTATTTTAGTATACACACAAACGGAAAAATATAGAAGTGTATTGGATGACGCCACTTTTGAATACAGTTTTCTAAACCTTCGCCACCAGAGACAAGGGAGAGTCCCTGCTCGCCACGGTAATACCGTGACGGTATAGAAGTTCTATTCGTCAGTCGACTGTTTCAATACTCTCCACAGTATAGAGGTCGTAATTTAACTTTTGGAAATTATTTTATGCTTGAAAAAAAACTATATACGACATGATTGTGATTTTTTTCATTTTTTTAATTAATTAGGCTGTGTTGAATATTTTTCCTAAAGGAATAATTGCCAATGGGCCATTAATTCATTTTTTCGTAGATGCTACAATAACCTGCACTTTTTGATCATTTGGTGTACTAAGAGCTGCTATGAAGATAGTGCAGGGTCTACCAACAGACCTCATTACTAAATTATTAAAGTTTAATAGCATATCGATCGTTTTTTCAACAAAACCTCTGAAATGTTTATTACCAATATAGGTACTTTATATAGTACATAAATATACTTTGCATCATATCCTCTGTGCTTTACATACGTGAGTTGTTGCGGTAAATAAAAATCAGACAAAGGAACCAAAGAAAGGAATTGTTTTCAAAAAAATCATATGCAGAAATGAAAATATTCAAAATAATTGCATCCATCAAAAGATCAAAACTTCTTGCAATATTGAATTACACTCTCTTTTTATGCTATCAGAAATATTGACTAGAACAGTATTAGAGAGACTCCAGTTTCTATAACTAACGAGAAGTCGAAACCGCGCTGTTTTTTTATAATTCTCGGGGACATTAACCATTAGCCAGTAAAATTCGAAAAGCTTGAGTTTCTATGCCTTTGAAGAGAATAAGAATCCCAAGTTGCTGAACCATTGGACTGCCCTCTTTTTCAATAATTTCTAGAGACATAAATGACTGCACCATTCGACAGGGTCGAGTTTTTACCTCTGTTGAATATAGAAAATCAAATAATGTATCTTGTAAGACACCATTGAGTTTGACTTTAACTATGGTCGTGCATAGGTATAGAGGCAAAAAATATAAAAAAAAGCACGATTCAATACAGTTCTGATAAAACTTTAAGATTTAGTATTCAAACGGGGAGTCATCCTATACACTTATATATTTTTCCGTTTGCTGTACAATTACCTATTGTATTACAATATGTTGATGATGTTTTTATTATTGATTGGTTTTGGGTCCCCTGTAGAGCCAGACAGGTACCAATTGATGCTCTGTCTGGGTCACACAAGCTCTTTTGAGTCCCCTGTGATCCCATATACCGCTCCACCCCCCCCTAATCCTGGTCCCCTTTCAGAAGCCCAGAATTGTGTTTGGGGTGCAGCCCTTTAGGGCCCAGGCCCCCACGTCCCGTTATTACCCTGACATAGAGCCCGATATCCCTCCTATTCGATGTTGGGTTATAGGTCCCTCGTAGGTTTATATCCCAGAAGGATATACACAAAGAGATTCTTTTTGCGTGTCCCTTTTGTAAATACCAGTTTTTTTTACAGCCTACACAGGTAAATTAAGGTAACAGGAATATAATCGAGTATGCCATGATGCAGTCTAAGAATAAGCCTTTTTAATGCTTATTCTTAGACTGTATCATTACCAAATCAAAAAAAAAAAATTCGTTTTCTTCCAACTTGAAACCGAAACCCCGTAAAGCATACCTTCATATAAAGAAACTACTATTTTTAACTTAGGGTCATTATGTTACACCCTGTATAGCAAAAATGCCCTATTTTTGGTACACCCCGTATATATGTATATTTTAAATAAATCGAGAAATATGTTTAGCTATATAGCTTAATTAAAAGTAAATTACCCTGAACAATAATTAAATTAATTTTGCAATAATTTAAATAATTATAGTAATTAACATGTTATGAAATGATTATAAATAACAGTGTTTTTATATTTTACCATCATTATGCATAATGGTTCTAACCTTTTGAACCAATAATTGTAACATAAAAAATAGTGTATTATTATAAGAGAGATAATGCAGGCTATTATTCACGATGAGGTTTACGTCTCGAGTCGCCAGACGAGAGACCTAAATCATCCGAGTGAATATTGCGCATGATCTCGAGTGCAATACTATACTTTATCTACTCCAATAAGTAGATAATTAATTGATTTTCAAAATAAAATAAATAAAATCTGACATCTGTCAAATGGTTAACCTCACTTTTTACCAATTTTAAATGTTATTATAGTCACCTTCTTCCAATTTAATTTGGTTCAAATCACAGTGAATATTGAAATCGGCCAATCACTGATGGCAAACAACGTGAATAATGAGTTTATCATTCACTTTGTTAGGCAAATTTTTTTTAACAATAACTCTAAAATTATGCAATAGGAATAGATAAATATATATTTAATTGTGGATTTTTGGCAAATTCTCAATTTTTATTGTTTGTAAAATTACAGGTAGTTAGTTTTAATTGTTTCCTGTCTGAATTTATAAGAACCATTTAGTAATAACGTTACCAATTGGTAATGATACCATTGTTTATTTTATTATTACTTTATATTGAATGTGTAACTATAATCCAACTAATTTTTTTTTTCATGCACACATGTAAGCAAGAAAAAGCGATTTAATTTAAAAGGGTCGTAAAACAGGTCAACTGTAATCTATGAGTTTATGGAGATGATCCGGCAAAGCAATAGGACTTAATTGACACATTTGGTTTTAAAAAATATACTTAAAATATACCAAAATGTCCTATTTAGTAATACATAATAATAAATATGTATTTGTACATTTTGTAAAATACCTAACGCCCTCTTAACGGTAGAAAGAATAAATTTGCTTCGGGTAAAACATAAACTTATCTTACCTTTGATTGAGGATGTATCAAGCTAACGCCGTGTTTGTTAATTGCGATTAGAAGCATTTCGGGATAGTTCGGGTCCGTCGTTTGCTTTACCTCGAAGAAAGCCGAACCGAACGTAGGCCAGCGGTATACCACTTTCAAAAAGGTGATCTTAGCGTCCTCCGGACTCATTCCGGCGTCTTGATTGTAGGCAGCCACGATTCCACGTTTCCAATCGTTCGCGCTCTGGATTTTGACCAGGTCTGCTGGGATAAGTTCTCGAAGCATTTGACTATAAGAAAATGTATTAATTTTTATGATGCCCTTTAAACAATGTTAAAAAATAACAAAATAAGAAAGTTGATAAGACGAGTTTATACAACGCTATTTATGATAATTTTGATCTGAAACCCACGTCAGAACCGTTGTAAAAATTGTATTTTACGTATATGTTAAGAGTAGTTTCAAAATTTGTAAATTTTTTAAAAATTTTAATATTTTAAAAGTGTTTAAAACTTTGTGGGAGGGGAGTTTGGATTGTGCGTTACGTCCACATACTTTCACACATATACAGCCTATTCGCTATATTTTGTGTGGATGACCTTTTTTCCTTTTTTAAACGGAAATGTGTCGATTTGGCGTATAGATCTGCCTTAGTTCATAAGTGGGGGATTAAAATTTATACCATATACATATTAATACGTCCACGTATGTTACGAATTGTCAACTAAATGAAATTAAGCTTATATCAAATTTTTCTAAATCATTTATTTACATCGCCTAGGATATGCTTATTAAATTTCTGTGGTTAGGCTTTACAAAAAGCAAAAAGTGGCATAATATGCATATTATGTAAAAGCCACTAAAACGCAACGCAAAAACAATTGGTATTCAACAGAAAACAAACAAAATGTTTGATTATAAAAACCATGAACATATTAATATGTCTATGATAAAAATCTTTTGGTTATCGTGGTCGAAATACGACGTTGCCAAATTCTTGCTGCCATTATAAAATATAAAATATCAATATTTTGTGTGTTTATTATTGTTAAATGCTTTTTTTTCATACTATTTATATACAATTTATTAAAAAGTATTTATTATACTTCCCAAATAGGGACAAAATATGGTATTTTTTAAACCGGTAATGCCGCCAAGCATGCGCCTCAATGCAATCAAACAGGTATTTTCACTTACCCTACTTTAACCCCACGAAAAGGAAATAGTCTCAGTTAGAAATTATTTGGATATGTGTGAAAGTATGTGGTTAAGTCATGACGTAACGTGTCACAACAAATAAATGAAAATATTTCACTTGCGTGTTATAGAGTTTTTTAGACTTAAATGCTTAATAAATCAAAAACTGCTTGTCGGAAAAGATATTGGGTTTTTTATACTTAAATTAACCCCCTACAGATTATATTGTTATTATTTTTACTATTTATTTATTTGAATTTTTCTAAATGTATTTATTTTTAATAAATGATATAATAACAACACTAATCATTACTGGAAAACTCGATTCCTATCATCTCCTTGAAAAGTTTCACTTCAATAGTGTGCTTATAAAGATAAGGCACACACAATTTTTTTTATAAATCGATTACTTACGGTATTGCTTGGAGTTCTTGTTTGCTCTCGCCGAATCTCACACGGTAGACTAGAGCAGCTAATTTGGAAGCTTCCTCTTTCGTGCATTTGTGGTAGCCTCTGATTAATTTGGGAAGTTCTTGATGGAAATGGAAGATTAAATCAGCATTTTTATCCTTGCCTGGCACGGTGTTCGTCCAGAGCTTCTTCATGAAAAATACTTGATAAGAAAACTGGGGAGTGATCCCTTCTCTAGTTGGTCGTGCTTTTCTTATCCAGTCTGTCAGATGCCTTACAAAATCAAAAAAGAAATCTCCTTCTGGCACAGAAATTACCTAAAATTTATAATTTTTAGAATTAAAAAATCTTTATAATCCATGTTATTACTTTATCCGCAATCTTAACAAATAGGCTGAAGCCTTCACTAGACCTTAGGCTCAGTCTTTGACTAATGTTCTGGCAAAAATCTTTCGCTCTGGTGCTGGAATCAACTTCAAAGGCCTCATCTGTGTCATCTGGAAAATACACCTTGTGGAAAATCTGCGTTGTCTTGTGTTGTATAGCCTCTACTTCCACTTGGTGAGGTGGATATTTTCTCTGCCCATTTCGTAGAGTTTTTTGCAGCCTTTGCAGAGAATCCTGCGATATTGGATGCCTCCTGCTTCGCAAGAAGGTGGTAAGTTCTTTTAAGAGACTCTGCGAACACGTAAATAACCCAGTTGCTAACCACATCAACTCCCAGCCACGTTCTTCCGATAATCTGTTGCGGTTATCCGTCAATTGCTTCATGATTTGACAATAAATTTCGTCTCTTAGAATCTCATGTTTTAAGGGACCGTCGAATATATGGTCAGTATACTCGTTCCCTAACCTTGGCCTCTTCGAAGGCAAATCTCCCATGTATTTTAAAATAGCGCTAAAAGCGAAACAAGCCTCTTCAGCGAGTTCCTCCTTGGCCAGTAGCTTCTTAAGCAAGGGCTGCTTAATGGGATCGCGGGAGTGCCTCCATAGATCGTCGCCTCCTCGGCGTCCTCCAGATAGCGTCAAGGCTTTTGACATGGTGCGTTTTAACGGCGGACGAAAGTGATCGATTGAGTATTCCGCCAGGGTGTACGGACGATCCCTGGATTCGGTTCCGTTCACAGAGTATTGTTGACTCAGGCGTCGTCCATGTTCGGCACCTAAAATATATAAGAAATTTTAAAACCAATTTATCACCAACACGCTTCTTCTTTGCAGTGGCATTAAACTCAATATAACGAATTTACTTACACACCCTATAAATACCAACTAATTATTGTCGTATTTTCTTGGACTAATTTGAAACACATGTGCTATTAACACCTGATAAGCAACTGACACTAATTTTAATGCGTGGCTTTACTGTTACCATTCAAGCTCTATTTAGTTTTAATTTAAATAAAATAAAGAATAATAAAATTTTATTAAAAAAAAAAATTAAAAAAAAACTATAAATGCTTTTATAAATGACGTGATTAAAATCTATTAGTTATGGTTATGAGTTTTATTAGTTTGCCGAAAGAAAGAATATTTGTTAAACAGTACTTAATAACTAAAATGCAAGCCGCATTTTACTGCATAAAAATGTCAAGGTTTTCTTACCAGGGAAACGGTTTAAATAAGCAATCATTCTTAAATATTCATTAAAAGAGAATATATAGTATTTGGTATAGAATTTAGATAAACCAATCAATAACACGCAAAGTTTTAAACAAATTTACAATTTATAACGCGCTATTGCAACCCACTCTTCGTTGTTCAAAGTAATAGTTTTCTTATGTTTCGACCTTGCTGCGATTTGTACGCTACTGTTAGATAGATTTGAAAGTAAGGGTATATATTATAATACTATCTAACCGTCTATTTAAAAACTTAGAGGTAAGCCACTTAACAATACATGCACATTTAATAATATTGTTGTGATATTTAGATAGTTTTTTCCTACATAAACATTCTAGAAGAAGATCCTTTTATGTCAAAGGTTAGATAACTATTAACGTCCCAAGATGATTATAGTGTATAAGTATACTTTCACTTTTCACGTATTTGTCGGTATTTATCCTAATCGTACAAATTTGCAAACAAAAAACTTACCTTCAACGGAAAATAGCTGTAATATATCGGCCGGTGGTTTAGACATACAGGGCAAGACATAAACCGTCTCGGCAGGAAAGTCCCCCTTTTCCGTGGTTCTCTCACATCTTCCAACGCACCATCCCGAATTTAAAACTGTCTCACCCGTACTGTCCTCCTCTAAAATAATCAGATCTCCTTTTAGGAACGTCAGGAAACTAGAGCCCTCCCCAGGAGCTTTATAGTCTTGTAAAGCTATAACAAACTTTGACCTCTTTTTGAGTCCTTCCAAGAAGTAAACCACAAGGTCTCTTATGTCTTCTGCGTTTGGACTTTGGAAAGTGAATTCTTCACCACGTACCGTACTCAAACTAAACGTCTGCGTAAAAACTTTATTTGTCTTTTGACTGGAGACCGTGGTTATTTCAGGGAAAGATAATTCCAATAAAACTTGCTCTTGATCGTCGACTACGTAAACTCCAGTCCAGTTTACAGCAATGATAACATCGTTCTTGGGCAGATTCGGTCCTGAGTTTCTATAAGCTTCGTAGAATCTAGAAAATAGTAGCGGCCATTTAAATTTAGCGTAACTAACAACGTCCTCTTTAACTCTAAGGGTCGATATTTTCTCTTTGACATAATAACTCTTTTTAAATGCTTGCACGACCAACGCTGCCCAGCGATCAACCGCCTTATCCACGCCCGTTAGACAATAATCCGGAATATAATTTGGAAGTAAAGTTAAAAGCCTCTCCACGTTCATATCCGAATTATATTCGATAAAGTATTGTTGCGCTGCTATCATCGCTAGATCTTCTTCCTTGTCACATCTATACTCTCCAAATTTTACGCCTCTGACCACTTGTTGATAGATAAGGTTGGTTGCCACTTGGTCTTCAGTGGGTTCATGCCACGGAGCAAATATTTCCTTTCTGAAGAACAGTCTCCACGGAGCGTTTCTCTCCTGTGCGCCTTGTTCTTTAGCGTACTGCTCGCACTGAGATATCGCATCCATCACGTGATCGCCTCCGCTTCCTAAAGACGAAACCTTATCGAACAACGCTATATAAAGTGAAAATCCGAATTGATCTTTTAATCCAATCTTATCCGACAGTTGATTGCACAGTTCCCTAGCGGTGGTAGCCGAGTCCGCCAGCAATGTTTTAGTGTTACCGTCCATGAATGTTATCGGTAACATTATAGGCTTCTTAGACTTGGTTGCTTGCAGTTCCAGCCAGCTGGGAGGCTGGTTTCTCGTGCCGTTGTTGAACGTTCTTTTTAGGCGATCTTCGCAGTATGGTGCGTATCCTGGTGGTCCTTCTCTTATAAATGCCCTCAAGTAGCTTACGAATCTTTCAGATGGTGCGAAACAACCAACGCAGAGTGACAATAGTATCCACCCTCTTGCGTGTGATGACTTGGATGGATTGTTGCTTAGCTGTTTGCATATTTGACAATAAATTTCGTCTCTAAGCTCCGCTCTCAAAATTCCATGACCGATGATGAAATGAAGTTTTTCCAAATTCGAGGTGGGTCTTGATTCCAACCACGACTGATAGCTATCGGCAGTGTATTCTTCGTCCTGTAATTTTCTACGTACGTCTTCGCCAAGTTTATTTTTTCTTTTTAGTGTTAAAGAGACTAATTTGTTTCTTATGGATCTAGGTTTCTGTTTTAAGAATGATTCAGGATCCAAACCCATCAGTTGAGCTTCTTGGAACTCTTTACTTCTAATGAAATTTCTTCCTAACGTTGCTGTTACTTTGGACATTACCGATGTGTTATCCCTGTCCATAGTGTGGTATCTAGGTTCCGGTAGATCTCCAGTAAATCTTAAAATTGTTACCCATAAAGCTTGAGCAGCCTAAAATAAAATAGTTTTATTTATATTGGAGTAAAAACATTTGAAATTTGTAACTCACCAACTGATCTCCTTGGGTTTGCAGTGGAAGTAAAGGGTGTTTTAGAGCTTTTCTGGAGTACTGATGACCGACATTTCCCTGAAAATACGTTGCTGCAAATTTCTGGAACTTAAATTCGCTCAAATCTTCCTCATCTTCGGATACAGTGTGCATTGGACTTATTATTTCTGAATCGGATGTTTGTGTGGGTAAATCGTTGAAAACTGATGTTTCACGACCTAAATAAAATTTAGTGTAAGAACATTGCAAATAATTTAAGTAGGATTGGTTTACCTGGCATAGGTGCTTCACTTGAACTATCTGGAAGAAAATCAAACATTGCTTCAACAAGCTTAGAATCATCAACTGGTTCTTCAGCTTTTCTAGCAGCATCGTTAATAATATTTTTCTTAATTTCCACTCGCCTTCTTTCTTCAATTTCTATCTCCATTTCCTTTCGTTCCAATTCATACATTCTATCTCTGTAGTTCTGCTCTGCAATTTCTTTCGCTCTCTTATTCCCGGCATCTTTAAGCTCCCTCTCTTCCTTTTTTCTCAATTTAAGCGCTTCCAAATGTTTTCTATGTTCTACCTTATTTTTCTTGTATCTTCTCTGTGCTATCATGCGTCTTACGTGAGATTGTATCTTAATAATAGCCCACATTTTGTGCCCGTACTCTCTTCTCACCAAATAACCTCTGGCATGGGCTTGTAGCCCCACGATGTGCCCTCTTAAATGTCTAAATCGATGAGAAAGCACCCTGGCGCGTATAAGAGCCTGCAGTCTCATGTAGCCCACACGCATTCTCTTATACTTTTGCCTTTGAATGTAACCTTTCCAGTACTTTTGTACTATCATCGTTGCAGCCTTCAACCGGAGAAAACGTCTTCGATATACCCATCCTCTGATTGATCTTTGCAAAATGAGTATTTTCTTAGTAAGCACGCGGTCCCTCTCCTGCTCCAGGAACAAATCGTGCGCATCTTTAAGGAACACTTTAGTATGGCCTAGCTGATAATCAGATCTACCTAAAACTACGGAACATATTTTGGACGTGGCTGCTCGGCAGTCGGTTTTGTGAGCAGGCGGAACTCCGTGGATCAGGAATCGATATCTTTCCACGAACTCAGCGAAAGTGTGTCGGATAGGGTACCCTGCTCTACGTATTCTAATAGTTTCCATCATCCCTGAGTATCTCAGTTGTCTGCAGCACAAATTTCTATCAAATAGCGTCGGCTTTTTATATTCGTTCGGTTTAATGCAACGAATGAAGAACGGTTGACAATTCGATAGGGTTCTCATAAGAGAGTCCAAGCTCTTTTTGAATTGGGTAGACAACGTTGGCGCTCTTTTGCGTGTTTCAGATCCCATGCCTATATCTTCCGCGAATATTTGTTGCAGGAATTTATTTGTGCTTATTGTAACCAATTGCAATAAATCGGCGCTAAATGTATCGCGATTTTTTTCCAGGAATCCCCTGGTATCATAGAAAACTACACCAGCAAAGTGATTTAAACCAAAGCTAGTGTTTATGTCCGATTTCGGTTTTAAGTAATTTCTATGACTTCCGTGAGTTTTATGTATTTTTGCTAACATTGTCTGATCCGTGCCCTTTGGGAATTTACTTTCCTCATCTATCAAGGCCATTATGTTTAATTGTTTAATGGCGATCAAATCCAATGCGTCTTGGTTATCAACGAATTCAATGTGTTGCCAATTAATGCCCTCAACGTTATACTCCTCCTGTTCCAATTTAAAAATATGCCTCACAAAAAATTGCTGCAAATTCTCGTTAGCGAAGTTAATACAAAACTGCTCGAAGCTGTTATGGTTAAAGTTTTCAAAACCAAATATATCCAGAACACCAATAGAGCTTCTCTGTCGTTCTTTGGGTCTATAGATGGCCGCATTTATCTTCTTAACTATTAAAACAAATAACCTTCCATATATTCCTTTAACGAAAGCATCCCTCACATCCACGCTCTGCTCCCTTGACAAAGTAGAAACTACTGTTTCGCCATGAGCAAAAAGGGTTTTCCTAGTAAGAGCATTTATAAGCGGCTGTGGTGGTACTCCCAGCAGGTTGGCCACCCTGTGAACGTTTGTAGGATCCGGTATTTCCGTGGCGTCCAAGTTGTCCACCACAGTGGCTTTGTATTTAATGTTGCCGATGTGCAAAAGAGCGGCAAGGAGCTTCATTATGTCCCAGATCTCTTGATCGGAAAACAAAAGCACTTTCATGGCACTGCGAATGTCAGCAAATTCTGCTGCGTCGTCTCTACCCTCGCATGTTATACTTCCTCCCTAAAACAATTATATTAATTTTTCTACTTAAACTAACCTCAAAAATCTTTATCAAAAATAAGATAAATTGATGAATTGCTTAAAATATTTACCCCTGTGAGATATCTGTATTGACTGGCATCACCCAGCTCCAACTTCTTCTTGTCGTCCTTTCCTAACCCAGCCAATAAACAATAGAAAACGTGATAATTCCTTTCATCGGGATTTTGCGAGACTATCCTGCTTTTTTCTAATAAATACTGTTCGATTTTGGCACCCTCTATAACGCCGCTCGAATTGAAATGAATGTCGATGTATTTGCCGAAACGGGAGCTGTTATCGTTCCTCACTGTTTTGGCATTTCCAAACGCCTCCAAAATCGGATTTGCTTCCAATATTTGCTGTTCTATCCAAGAGTGCTTGCCACTAATCGCCGCCAGGTATTGCAGGATTAATTTTGTACTCTCAGTCTTTCCTGCGCCTAAAACATCAGAGTTTTATTAGCATGTTTAAGATATTAATGATCAACTATTTAAATTAAATTTGCATTAAAAAATATATGTGATGTGGATAAAATCACCATAAACATGATTTCAAATAAAATAATTAAAAAGCAGGTAGCAAGAAATCTGTAGACCACAGCAATTTTTAGATATAATATGAGTAGTTTCGCTAAGGCAAAGCCAAAGGACTTGCTACCAAGACTTTAATCTTAGATACGGAGCTTAATTACGAGATACAAATTTGTTCATAGTTTTAATAGATGGGGAATATCTTTATTTTGCAATTACCTGACTCTCCTGATATGACTATACATTGATCCTGTCCATATCTTCTCATGTTGCCGTAAGTATTGTCTCCAATGGCGAATATGTGTGGAGGTAGCTCGCCAATTTTCCTTTCTTTGTACAGTTTTATTTGTTCGGCAGTATAAATTGGAAGGATTTGGTACGGGTTTACTGCCACCAAGATGGATCCTGTATAGGTCTAAAATAAAATAAATAATTTAGACTTTGCATTAAAATTATAAAAAGTTGGTTTTAAGAGCTTTTATTATTATTTTAATAAAGTTATGAGAATTTTAAAACAAAGGATCTGACGAGACGTCAAGCTTGTTTGTTTCCTTAATTTGTTTGATTCCTTAATTAACATAATATTATGGTGGTTCAAAATTCCTTAAGGAACCTTTAATAATTTTATAAACTTTAAAAATCGTTAAAATAATAAAAAATTTCTTCATAAACTTATATCGAAAACGCAGTTTTAAAAATACATGGTATTAAAGTTGCATATGGAGCTTTCCATGCCAAATCGGCCGCGAAAAAACGGACATGTGCAATTTGCTTCAAATTTTGAGGGTCTATAAGTAGTGAAACCCAACAAATGAAAAAATCCATAACTTCAGCACTTTTTATGCATTTTGCGGATTTTACAGTATAAACAATGGAAGGTAGTGAGTTTAAAATAAAGAATGTTTCTGAAATTAAACAGTAAAAAATATTGAAAAAATTCAAACATATATTTTTTCAAAAGTTTGTATAAAAAAATATAAAAAGATTAAAAATGAAAAAATAAATTTATATTCTGAAAAACCGTCATCATACTTTCATACATATACTGCTTATTTGCTATATTATATATATATATATATATATATATATATATATATATATATATATATATATGATACCATAGACATATGTCCATGTAGGATACGAATTGTCAACTAAATTATATTAAGGGTATATAAATTCTTTCTAAATCCTTTGTTTACATCGCCTTAAGCTTACATACATTTCTGTGGTTAAGCTTTATAAAAAGCAAAAAAGTGGCATATTATGCAAATTATATAAGTCACTAATAATCTCGTAAAAACAATGATAAAAAAGCAATGCAAAAACAATTGGTATATAACAGAAAATAAACAAAATGGTTGATATGGATATTATTATGTCTATGATAAAAACCTTTCGGCTATCGTTGTCAAAATACGACGTTGCCAAATTCTTGCTATTACAAACCTGCCATTATGAAATTTTAAAATATCATCATTTTGTGTATTTAATATTTTTAAATGCTTTTTTATAAAATTAATTAATTTAAAAGTATTTTAAAAACGGTAATGCCGCCACGTGGCATTGCATCCTTAATGCAATCATACTTAAAAATAAACTTCCCCTTCTTTAACCCCACAAAACGGAAACAATCTCATTTCGAAATGATTTGTATATATACAAATATGTGTGGAAGTATGTCCATGATTTTTGTTTGTGTATGGTGTGTTGAATTAAAAAAATCATTTGCACTGTGCAAATTGCACACATATTTTTAGATAACTGCGGTTTATTTGTAAATTATACGGCTGTATTATACCTACACAAACAAAAATCATGAACAGGTTACGCCATGTCTCGGGGACTTTTCCAACGAAAAAAGTTTTTTATCGAACTTTGCGTGGTGCTTAATTCAATTTATTTATTTTTTCGAATCCTATCAACTTATTTAAAAGTGTTGTTATTTTTACCTATAAGTATACTATACCTATATTGTTTTTCCTGCAAAACCTCTTATATGTCGTATGAAAAAATTATGGAAGATATGGCGCCTCATACAAAATTATTTAGATTGTATTGTAAAAATTAGAGGTAGCGATATTATCGATAGTCTATCGATAGTTTCGATATTTTAAAAACTATCGAATTATCGATTCTATCGATAGTTACGAACTATCGTCTAGCGATAGTATACTATAGAATCAAACAAAATTATTATAACTGTCGTTGTTTTTTTATTCGAAATTTGACGTCATTAAAAACTTGGGGTTTTAGTTGGCAAAATTTAGGGACCCTAGATTTACCAACGTAAACTGTCTCAAATATGTGCTGTCAATTATTTTATTGTTGATGTTCTAAAACTCAATAGTTTTTATAGATTTTGATAAGGGTTTAATAACTAAGGTAGATATTTATATTGAAATACTATATCATGGAGCCTACACAAGGAGCCCGAACTTAATAGGGGAAATTGACAAAACCTGCCCTCTAAATTGCAAAAATTAAGTATTTTCACCACCAGCGGCGCTGATTGTCGATGCGTACTGACGTCTGCTCTTTTGGTAAACACCAGCGCCCTCTTATCTTAGGAAGATTTTTGTTTACATAAAGTTCAAATCTATTTTTGACTCTCCTGTATTTGGTAGGTTGAAAAAGTGCCTACTAGGTATAAAAATAAACCCCTTATTTTTTTAATAAAATGTTAAACTATAGGGTTTAGAAATTTTAGTAAACTATCGATAGTTAATCGATAGTATGATACTATACTATTAGTATCGATATTCGCTTTTCTTACCATCGATGCTATCGATAGTCTACTTTTTACCACTATCGCTACCTCTAGTAAAAATAGTGGTTAAGTATGGGTAAATTTAAAAGTATCTCTTACATATATCAGGTTCTCGTTGTATCTGATAAGGAGATTCCTGAGAATACCGGCCTCGTGCAGGTCGCCCAGGCCGATCATGTCCTCGACGCCGTGGATCGAGGTGGCGTGCATCGCTTTGATGCGACGCTCCGGCGGCAGCCAGTGCTCCTGGCCGTCGTCATCGCGCACCGCGATTCTGCGACCTTCTGCTGACACCACCCTGGCGCCGATCGCCACGTCGAACTCATTGCCGGGCGTCGGTTCGATCCAGATGTAGTCACCCTAAAATAAAAAATAAAATAATATGTGGTGCATTGATTCCGAACTTTACAATATACTTATTATTAAAACACTGTTTCAGTGTACCCAATATTTTTAAACGGTCTAGAAAGAAAAAAGTGTATATTTTTTAAATATGTAAATTGTTTTTTTATAATAATAATAAACTTTATTGCAGATCAAAAATACACTCAAAAACACAAATAGAGCAGATCTACCAATCAAACCTTAAAAAAATATAGGGATATAGGAAATTCGTAGGATTTTCTTTTAAACTAAAATTTATAAAAAAATCCACATTTCTTTTCAATTTAAGGTTAAATAGTCCAACTAGATTTATTACTTCACAAAAGTGGTTGTCTAGACAAAGTTATAACAATTTTGAAGAACAATTGTTTATTGAAGCATCTTTTTACTAAGAATCAAACGGGCTAATAATACATATACATATGTACTTTGCTCCACATCAAAAAGTCTCACTTTGACATTTGAATAAGGAATGCAGTCAAATAGTTGAGTTGAGGTTATGTATGTGTTAGTTTAACGCCATTTTTTTTTTATTTTTAAAATAATACAATAGTTAGGTTGAGGTATAAACTAATACCTATAAACACAAAAATCCATAAATTGTATTAGGTACAGGGTGTTTTCTTATAAATGGCACAGCCCTATATAATCTTTATTAGAAGAGATATCAAAAAAATTTAAAATCTGGCTTGAATGGCTTAAAAAAGTATTTTTTTCACAAAAATTTAAAAACAAAAAAGCATCGGTGAATTTAATAAAATAACATTGACATTGTTTTTTTTCAATGAAACCCTGTACCTATATTTTTGAATATTTTTCTGGTTTCAAAAATATATAGTTTGTATATATTTGTGTTACTTAAGTGTTTAGTTGATAATTATCATAATTATAATTAACCCGAAAATTATGCTAAATTTAACGCGAGAATCATCATTAATAATAAACACATGCATTTTTATAAAAATCATAGTTGCCATGAATAAAGAACTCACGTCATAAAATAACCATACGGTTTTTAAACCATGCAAGCTGGATTTTTTAATATCTTTTCAAATAAAGATTTTAGATTAGTGTCCCATTTATACGAAAACACCCTGTACATATTCTTAAAAAAACTTACAGATCTATATTAGACTGGGCCAAAAAAAATCGACTATTTTTTTAAGTATATCGAAAATATTGTTTGGGGTGACAAAAAAAAAATTTGGTGAAAGTTCCATAATATTAGTTTAACAAAATTGACTTAAGAATATTTTTTGAAGAAAATTGAATGTTCTACAAAAAAGGTTTCATTGGAATTTCCCGTCAGATGAACCGTTTTCTTACATTCATGCCTTAAAAATTGGTATAGTTTTACAATTTGATCTTTTAACTTTGGAATTTTGTAATTCATGTAAAAATCAGTACCCGAAAAAAAACCGCTAGATATTCTTATGGGAAACCAAATGCTCTACCAAAAAAGTCTCTTAACATTTTTGGCTAAATTCAATGTTTTTTCCGCTCTAGATTTTTTTTGGGTCAGTTAAAAACTTGAATTCTTTTATCGATGATAATCTTTATGTTATTGATAAAATTACTGAAAATTAAAAAAAATTATTATTATTATTATTATTATTTACACATTTGTAAAGAAAAAAATCAAATTATCACCCATAAAAAAATTAATCTACAGAGGAAAAAACAAGAATTTCGTTTTGACTTCAACTTAACCTTGAATAACTTTTGATTGAGTGAATTTAGCCAAAAATGTTAAGAGGCTTTTTTTGTAAAGCATTTGATTTTCCATAAGAATATTCATCGGTTTTTTTTTGGGTACTGATTTTTAAATAAATTACAAAATTTAAAAGATCAAAATGTAAAACTATACAAATTTTTAAGGCATGATTTTAAGGAAACGGTTCATCTGACGGAAAATTTCATTTTAACCTTTTTATAGAGCATTTACTTTTCAAAAAAAAAATACTTGATTTTTTTGACCCAGTCAATTATTTGACTGCATTCCTTATTCAAAGAACGTGACTACTGCAAGCCGCGTCATGTCTTATAACTTAACCTATTGGCACGACTCGTCGTCCCAACCTTTGAAGAGAGGTCGAACCTTAACTAATGGAAAAAATCTGTAGATGATCTCCCAATTATAATAAATTGTGTGTTTGTAGAAGCACACATTCGGTATTTATAGTAAGTGAGATGAAGTGAGGTGAATCGCTATTATAGCAATGCATCTCACTGTTTATAATTTTGTTAAATAATTACATGTTTTACTCACTAGCGCAATTTGTTGTAGCGCGCGCGGCGCGTTTGGTTCGTTCGGAGTAATTTGTTGCAAGTTAGTACGCATCAAAGATCAAAACTCGTAGTTGTTTTTAACATTCCTAGAATACCTACGTTTTGGTTGCGTGTACGTTAAGTTTATTATTCACGATGACAAACAAGTGTATTTTCAGGAATTTAAAACCGTTTTCAGCAATTGAAAGATGTGGATCAATGGTATTAAACTTCTTGTTTTGCATACCAATTGAAAGATTAAAATGTGTTGCGTGTAAATCAGCAAGTTTTGTACTTATTTCTAGTGCCAACAAACAGCACTTATGTATGTTCTTACAATACACCCATAAAATGAATAATAGAATTTCTGATGATGGTAAAATTTCTTATGTGTTTATTATCGTCAGTACCTATTGTAGAATTATTTTAATAGACTTTAATTTGTATAACGGCAAGTCTATTAATGGAAATGCATTAACTGATAAATAACTTTATAAACTTTTCTTTATTTGAAGTTTAAATAAATGAGAATCTTTTAATAAATTATAACAAAGTATAAAAGAAAATAAATGAAAGCGTTAAATATTGGCAGTAAAAGTTAATGGAAATTATGTAAAGAGGAATTTAAAAAGTATTTAATCAATGGTAGTGTTGTTATTAAATTGAACATAAAAATTAATAATTATGTGAAGGCACTACAAAATTACTCATTGTAAATATAATAATAATAATAATAATATTGATAAAATTAGGTACTTCAAATCATGGGTCAAACAAAATTTTATTAAGTTCTCTCATTGTAAATATAATAATAATAATATTGATAAAATTAGTTACTTTAAATCATGGGTCAAACAAAATTTTATTAAGTTTTTAAAATTTATTTATTTATTTAATATATTTATATATTTTCCAATAAGCTAACCAAATAGTTTGTCTAGGCATCAATATAGATGTTTAAAGTTTAGCTAATAAATATCTAGTACGTTACGTAATAAAAAGCAAACAAAATTAAACATTTCTTTTAATATCTGATCAGGTTTTAAAGATAAATTATTTGAGATTTTATGAGAGAGGACATAAAGTGCATTCGGTAATCTCCAAAAATATTTGGGTGCCTACTTGCAATGTCCAATTTCGGCACCCTCTGTATAATATAAATTAAAGATAATTTGTTTGTTGAAGAAAAACAAATGCAATAATGTTTTAGGTACTGAAATTATTTAATATTTTTGTGTTTTATTATGGACATTTCATACCAAATAAAAATAATAATAAAAGTTGACCAATGATGACATAAAACTCATAAACATAAACAAATTTTATTTTTTTTTACTCGACCAGAATTTTTTTCAAAAAAACGTCATAAATTGACATTGGTTTTAAATTTTTTCGAGTATACTCAGGTATACCTAACAGTATACTTAGGTATACCTAACAATATTTTATTCTAGAAACAAAGTTAAATCAAATATAATAAATCAAAAAAAAAGAAATATAAGTTGACTTCACACAAACACAACGGCAAACTTCATTAAACATTATTTTTATATAGAAGATGACTTCAAATATATTTCTATCAAAAACATTAAAATCATAAAAAAAATATCTTATAAATATGTTTATATATATATATATATATTAGGGTGTGTCATTTTTAGGTGACATTTTTTTTTTCGCTGTTATACCAGAAAATCTAATACTTTATAGAAAATAAAAAATTATGCCGCCGGGTAAAAGGTTCTAAGTGCAATAGCGGCTTAGCTCATTTAAAAATTCAATTTCCCATTGAAATAACACAGAAAATTTTTTTTGTTCGTTTTAATTAGATTTTTCGCTGTTAAAAACTTTTTTCCCTAAAAACTTTTTTATAGCTTTTGTAGGAAATTAAATTCTCTACAAAATCATCCCTTTGCTCGAAGAAAAATAAAATGGAATTTGATGTCTATTTTTATAAAAGTTTATATTTCCAGCGCTATAACTCTGAAACTACTAGTTATACGGTCTTCGAGCAAAAGGATGATTTTGTAGAGAATTTAATTTCCTACAAAAGCTATAAAAAAGTTTTTAGGGAAAAAAGTTTTTAACAGCGAAAAATCTAATTAAAACGAACAAAAAAAATTTTCTGTGTTATTTCAATGGGAAATTGAATTTTTAAATGAGCTAAGCCGCTATTGCACTTAAAACCTTTTACCCGGAGGCATAATTTTTTATTTTCTATAAAGTATTAGATTTTCTGGTATAACAGCGAAAAAAAAAAATATCGCCTAAAAATGACACCCTAATATATATATATATATATATATATATATTATTATTATTATTATTATTATTTGGTAATTTTTTTAAAGAGTTTTGAGGTTGTTTTGAAAAATTCTTAACTTTTTTACGATTGAGTACAAAAAATAGAAGTACATAGTATACTACTAAAACATTTCAGCTAAATTATGTCCATATGACAAATATCATGCCTCATAAATATTTAAAATTTCGAATTAAACTATATTTCTAAGCACATTGAGAGATAAAATCTGACCCAACCACAGAAAGTGAGTCGGCGCACAGGTGTTTTACTGTCCATAAATTACACATTTATAATAAATTTTTAGTCTTAGAAATAATGCAGGTAATATTTTTCATAAAACTTTCTTTTAATCAACCAAAAAAATTCGGTATATTTTAATGTTACAAAAATAACCAACATTTAA